CTAAAATATACTATCAGAAATGAATAAGAATCTCTAGAAGATCATATTTCTTTCTCGATTTTTTTTATCATATTAAAACGAACCATGTGTGAATCACCTTTTGAGTATGTAAATAGGTGTTTATTTGCATTATTTATCTTGAGTGCAGAGGCCATATTCTTATCATTGCCTCTATATAAGCACATGTATATTACATTTTCTTTCTTTCACTCACTTCTTCTTACTTCAATTACAGGTTGGTTGGTAGTTTTCTCTCTTTTTTTACATTTATCTTTTATCTATTGTAGAATATAATTATGACATCTCAAATGTGCGGACTCCGGGCTCCAAGCCATGTTTATTCAGCAACATTAAAAAATTCAAGTAACAATGATATTGTTGTTGAAGTTGAATATGCTGGTTCAGATGCTAGTCATGGCGAACATGTTACCGTAATTGTACCTAAAGGTGGTTCACAATCTATTAAAGAAAAAACTCATCATGTTGGTGATAATGAACAACGTAAATTCATTCAAAAATTAACTGTTAAATCAGAGGGTGCTACAATACAAGAATTATCAGCTCCATTTGAAGGTGTTAAATCACCAAAACACGAATGGCAATTTGAAGTTACTGAAGATGGTTCAATTAAATCAGTATCACATTAAAAATCAAATATAAACAAAAAAAGACATTTCATCATTTTATAGAAGAAAAAAAAACCATTAATTAAGCTCGTTTATTTGATTAGAAATAAATACATACAAAAAAAAGATTCTTTTTTTTTATTTATCATTTATTTTAGCATATATAGAACAAATATTTTCATTAAATCGATGATGATTGACAATATATAAAATATTTTCAACAATTTTTGCTCCACCTTGAACACCAGGTTCAATAGAATTCGCATAATCATTTGGATCATTAAATATTGTTTTTAAATCAATAACTGGAATTCCAAACTAAAATAAAAAGACAACGGAGAGTACATCAATTTATATATAAATATGTATATATATACTTTTGTTGATTGAGTAACAATAACATCATTTAAAGCAGATAAACCTGTTTCACACATTATTTGTTCATGTGAATTAGTAAAACGTGGATTATATATAGTACATGTTGTTACAGGAAGTTTTAATGAGATCAATTTTTGTAACATAGTGATATAATCCTAAGAAAATAATTCTTTAGATGAAATAATTATATGAATGTACTTTTTACTTTTTCAAATTTGCTTTTTATTTTACTAAGTACTATCAATGCTTCACCAACATTACTAACTGATTCATGTAAATGATGCATATAAGATAGTGCATTATTTCCACCTGAAAATCAAATCAACAAATTCAATCCTATTCAATAAAATTTTATATGAATATTACCAATGGAAACGAATAGATGTGTAGCATCTTTAGGAATTCTTTTGATTTGATCCGTTACATGTGAAAGAACATGTCCATCAACAGCAACTAACGTTGCATTCCAACCATGTTCCTCGACCTTCGATTTCAGTTGATCGATTATAGCAGGTTGACCTCGAACATATGAACCATTATCAAAAATACTATCACCAAGTAATATTAAATGACGAATTGCAGATGCCATTTTTTATGTTCAAACTTTCAACGATACATAAACTGACTCTTTGTGGAATTATACAATAATATATAGTTCATATTTGCACTCAGTACCCTTTCTGTCTGTTTCTATAACAAGACGATGACTCATCGAAACTTCTCGTTCTTTCTTTCTGTCAATCATATTCCTTTTTATTTTTATTAGAAGAATAAAAAAAAACACACAAAGTTCACAAACTTTCCGATTCACTTTTTTGTATAAGATCACTTAAGGGTATTGAATGTTGTTTTAAAATAATTTCTTTATAAAGTGTATTTTCTTCATTTGGATGAATTATTCCTTTTTCTAATGATAAACAAAAAACAACATATAGATATTTTTATTTCATAATTCATATTTACTTACTATTATAAGATTGTAATCTTGAATTTTGTTTTGAAATATTAGCTGACATTTGTCGTGATTGTGGTGTCATACTATTTGTTTTATTCGATTTTGCAGTTGCTGAACGTGAACGAGCACTAAATGTTTTCACATACCAATCTTGAGCATTTGCATTTGATTGAAGAGGTTTTCGTAAACATCGTTCAGTTATTGTTCGTTTTAAATCAAATCTTTCAGGATTATCAATACGAATATTTTCTCGATCAATTTTTAATTGATCACGAATCATATCAATTTTTTTCTCTTGATGAGCATAGGATGGATCAGTAATTAATTCGGAAATTTTTAAATTATTCTTTATTAATTTCGATATATGTGATCGTTGATAATAATTTAAGCTTTGTTCATATGGATGATCAGTAAAATGATTATCACGTTCATATGTTGCATCGCTATATGCTCTAAAATATCAGATTAAATAAAATTATATTTCGTTAATTCTATTCTTTACTTTTTATTTGTTAATAATTCATATGTTTGTTCAAGTAATTCTTCAGCTCCTCCATCTTTTCCATGTAATGTTGCATCAATAAAATCATTTGAAATCGAAAGATTTTTCTTTTTTAAAAACTTTTTAATAAGTGCCCAATTTAATAAACGAGAATTTAATGAACGTCCATTGACAAAATTTAACATATTTATATCATCAGGATAATAAACATGTAGAATTTCTGCATATGTATATCCATTTGATAAATCCCTGTAAATAAATAAAAAAAAAATTATTTAATATAGCTGCCAAGAGCATCCTAGTAAGTGAATGTGAAGTGATGTATTTGTTATTTGAAGTGTTTACAAAAGAATGTAACGTACCATTTTGGTACAACGATTGGATAAGTAAGATAGAGACTTTCATACCACCGGAGAACTTCACGTGATGTTCGAGCAACCATGATGAATAAAAAAATTTGTTTTCTGAATATAGAAGATAAACTGTTGTCTTATTTCCATATGTATGTCCGTTGCTAAGATACGACCTTCTTTTACCAATCAAAATCTATCGATATAGTCGAATAAATATAAATTCATAATAGAAATAAATGTTTATATTAAATCTAAGTATAAAAAATTGAAAAGAATATTTTAATATTCAAACATTTGATATTTGATTGGTTCATTATTCATGTTTTACCAAGTTCGATATCACCACTTCGTAATAGTACCTTGAATTTTGCTTTAAAAATGTCAGAATCAAGTCAAGTATGTGAAATTATAATTAATAAAAATGATCAACAACAAGAAGAAACATCATTAACAAATGGTAAAATGACTAATTCTATGATTAAATCATTTTGAATTTTTTATCAGATGAATCAAATATGATTTCCATAACCGACGAAAAAACAGTAATATTAGAAAATGAATCAGAATCGGGAAAAACAACAGACGATGAATATGAAGATTTAGAAGATGATGATGAAGAAGAAGAAGAAACATCTATTTCTAAGAAAAATCTTTCGAAAGTAAAAAAAAACATAAGATTATTTTATTTTCATTTGTTGATCATCTTAGAAAACTAAGAATAATGATGAATTACATATAAATATTAAACCGAGACGTATAAATCAAAAACGTCAAGATGATGAACATTCCGAAGGTTACGAAGATGATGATGATGATGATCATCAAAATGTACCAAAAGTAATTGGTGATAGTAAAAAATCGGATAAACCTAAGGAAATACTTGACGATGATAATAATACTCAAAGTCCAGCTTATATTCCTCGTAAAGGAAAATTTTATGAACATGATGATAGAACATTGAGTGAAAATGATCGACCAAAACAGTAAGATGAAAGAAATTTCTTTTACCTATAAAATTTTTAATGAATGTATATTAAGAAATGATAATCGGTTTTATAAAGATTCAGATGGTAAATGGCAACATGATCTTTTTTATCAAGATGAACAAAAATCAAAATCACGACATTCATTACAAAATTACAATGGCAATCATTATGAGTTAGTTTTAATTGAAATTATTTGAATTATTTTGAAATGTATTATTTAGACGTAGTTATAATAGTAATGGTGAACAACCTCGTTCAAATAATTTTATATCTCGACCTTATAAAAGATATACTGGTTATCAACAACCACAACGATATACCAGTAGTTACCGTCAACGACTTTCTCATGACAATTATAATAACTCACCTAAAGTTCCAATAAATAGTTTCGACTTGAAAGATTACAATCGTCCATTATCATATAATCGTACTGGTTACAATAAAGATATGACTACTACTACTTCTAAAGAAGCACAAGTAACATCTCGTCAACAACGACATGATAATAATCCATTACAGATTGATGAACGAACATTTCATCGTCGAAGAGATTTTAAAAATAGTCAATTTCAAGAACAAGAAAATGGATCGAAAATCAATACTAATTTTAATCGTAATGATCAAAAACGATTCAGTGAACAAATTAATGGAAATGATAGATTTAAAGATAATAATGAATATTATAATCATACAAGAAAAAATCAACAAGATTCTAAAAAATATGAATTATATGAAAATAAAAATACTTTACCACCTCGTTTTCAAACAAATAATAATAATAATAATCGAACTCTTATACAAAAACAACAATTTCAACGTAAATTAAAATTAAAATTTATTATAAATATTTTTCTTCTATTTAGAAAAACCACCTTCAAATCTTTCATCTGATATAACAAATAATGATCGTCCTAAACGATATTCAAATATGCGTAATAGTATGACAAATTATAATCAACAACAAACACTCTCATCACAACTACAACATTATCAAGATCAACGTTCTAATAAACTTGAACAAAGTATTTCATAGAATTTTCTTTTCTAATTTAATTTCTTTCGAAAATAATTCAGATGATTGGCCTCAAGCACCATCACCTCCAATATCATTTCTTCCACAACAAATCATAACACCTCAAATGTTTTATCAACAACAACAACAACAACAACAATCACGATATGTTCCAGTGAATCTTTCACAAATGTCTATTTCTCAACAGGTTAAAAAAATATTCTTTTCTAAAATTTAATTAACCACTAGTAACTGGATTGCCCCAAAATACATCTAGTTAATTATCGAATCGCTTCATGAACCATATCTCATCGATCTAAGATAAATCCTAAGACGATGTTGGCAAAATGTTGTCGTTTGCCAATATCCGGCCGTAAAGGTTGAATGAAAATTTCAATCAACCAATGTTTATTTTCTTTTGAAAATAACAAATCAGTCTAAATATAGGTATCATTTCGCCCTACATCTTTACTATCTCATCTTATTGACAGTTTTCTAATGAAAAAAGTAAATGTCAGTTGTCTAAATTTTGAATTACAATTCCAGACGGTTCTACCAAAGGACACCATTCTATGTGATGACAGATATCATAATCCATACATTAAACAAATACAGTGGCTAAAGGATATACAGAGTACGTTGACATTATTGGATGACATCGATATGTAGTATGTAATAAGTAATGCAAGTGACTTTAAATCAATGAATATGAAATAGTTAGAGTTATTCTAAATATATAGTTAATTCATGTATTTTTCAATAATACATATATATATATTAAATCAGAGCCAAACTTCCTTCTGTCAAAACTGATTCATAATTAAATTATTTAATGTCTATAAAATAGAATCTTATACAAAAAATATGAAATAAATGTTTACATGTGTAAAAAGCTTATATTTGATGTAAATATAAAGAAAGAAATCTCATACTGAATTTTGAACTAATATTTGTTCTATTTATGACAATAGCATCTTATCAAGTATACGATGATGATGCATTACTTTTTATTTACTTTCTTTTATGTTTTTAGCTTCCAGAAAATAAATAATACAAAAAACACTCAATCAAATCTTACAAAACAATGAAGTTATAGTAAAAAAAAAGAATGAATTGGAACATAAACATTCATAAATCATCTGTTCGATTTACATTTGTATGTTTATTGATTAAATAAATTTTGTATTTTTTTTTATTATTTATTTAGTTCATTAAAACTTCATTCGAAGATTTGCTATGTGCCATTTATAGTTGATTTTTTTTCGTTATTAAACAATAAAACTGTTTAACTAGTTTTTGCTTCAACATAAAAATTATGTTTTCTAAAAAACAAAACAATAACATAACAAAAAAACGATATCCTTGTCTGTTCTTTTATTATTATTTCTGACTGGATAAATATGCATGTTCGATCAATTTTCTTGTTTACAAGATATTTATCTATATAAAATACTTTTCTACAATGCAACTTTCCATTTAGCGAATATCAAACGATATTTGTAAATGATATATACAATTGATTTACTTTGTTATGTATTTCGAATGCATATACGTTTATGATGATCATTATATGTTAGATAGTTATAGTTCGAACAAATTCCTTTGTTAATTAGCCTTGTTTTTTTTCTATCTCATTTCAAATGGCATTCACAGTTGACAGCATCACAAATGGTCGATTATCTTATGCTAATAAGCAGAGCATAGCCCTATTTTTTTGTATCTATAGTTGTCAATGATGCTGTTTTTTTTCCAATTCTATAGACCAAAGAACAACATGAAGTTACTTATAGATTGGTTTTGGCTAAATGATTTTTCAATTAACACATTGCCACCATTCCAATACATGCATACTAAATGTCATTGTCAACCAAGAATCGAACCAAAAGAGTGAAATCATATATTTTCATTCTGTTCTGTATCTTTTTTCTACTTGGAAGAACATTACAGCTGTTGCACTTCGTTTGTCTCTTACATTTTCACATACATATAAACAACATAATAATCTGACAAATAATTGAAAGAAACATCGATTTGTCAAAGTCGCTACTAGTTCATTATTACTTTTTTTTTACTACGAATGTTATATTACAATAAAACAAAATATTTTCTTTTATTATTTTATTTATTCAAATTAATAAGTAAGTTATAATCTATATATATAGAAAAATAATATGTCTATCAAAAAAAATAGTTGGAGGTCCAGATCAACGACGTTTATTACATTATTTATTTGAAGAAAATAAATATGATCCACTTGAACGACCTGTTTTTAATGATACAGCTACATTAACAGTTACAATGAGTTTAGCACTTCAGCAAATTATTGATTTTGTAAGATCTTTTTTTTTTTCAATCTACAAAAATTCTATTCGATTTCGATCTCTATTATGAAAACAGGATGAAAAAAATGAAATTCTTGTTATTAGTGGTTGGTTAGTTCTTGTATGTATATAAATTGAAAATAATTTCTGTTTATTTATCAATATAATTTAATTAATTAGGTATGGCATGATTATAATTTACAATGGAAACCAGAAGATTTTGGTGGTATTCAGGCAATACGTGTGCCTAGTGTACGTGTTTGGACACCAGATATTTATCTTTACAATAGGTAAAAATAAAAATGAAATAAATGAAATTTCGAAATTTTTTTTTTTAAAGTGCTGATGATAATTTTGAAGGTACAATGAAAACAAATTTAGTTGTACAATATAATGGTAGTATACTTTTTGCTCCACCTGGTATTTTGAAATCAATATGTCCATTTAATATTGCTTCATTTCCATTTGTAAGTTTTCTAAATTTGATGTATTTTTATTGATGACTTGTTTTAGGACGAACAAAATTGTACTTTAAAATTTGGTTCATGGTCATTTGATGAAAGTGGTGAGTAATGAAATAGATTATAAAAAACAAAAAATATTTTTTTATATCGAAATAGGTGTTAATTTAACTTCTGAAGGTGATCAAGGTCAATCAGATGCATATGTTAAAAATGCTGAATGGGATTTATTAAGTATTTCATTTAAAATTTCATAAGTAGGTTTTCTTATTCATTTATTGTATAGATTTTACTGCAGTAAGAAATGCATTTGCTTATGAATGTTGTCCAACTGTATATCCATTTGTTCTTTTTACTATTCGCATACGTCGACGTACACTTTATTATGTAGTAAATATTGTTGGTAAATTGATTGAAAGTTTTTTTTTATTCTTAAATATTTTTATAGTAAAACAAAAAAATGGGTATTTTTTTTCTAAATAAGCTTTCTTGATGAAAAAATAATATACATTGAATATTTCAATTATCTTTATTTATTGCTTCAGTGCACAAATTATTTATTTTAAATATATATGTATGAATTGATAAAGAATAATCGTAAATCAATAGGTGTTTTTTTTTTCTTTTCTCATCAAAATAATTTTACTTTTTGAAAAAAAAAGAATATATTAATCTATTTATTTTATTTAGTACCATGTGTTCTTATTAGTTTTATGACTATACTTGGCTTTCTTCTTCCGCCAGATAGTGGTGAAAAATTAACATTACGTAGGAACAAACTGTTCTTTTTGATTAAATATTGATTTTTATTCTTATATCTTATTTGTAGAAATAACAATTCTTCTTTCCATTGTTATGTTTAGTTTATTAATCTCAGGCATTATACCAGCTAGTTCAACTGCATTACCAACTATTGTTATGTATTTTGCTACTGTTATGTGTATGTGTTCAATGTCCGTTGTTGCTACTGTTTTGGTACTTGGTTTTCATCATCGTAATGCTAAAAATCATACAATGCCTAATTGGGTAAAAGATTAATAATTAAAAATATCATTTTTATTTAGAAAAGAATCTTTTTTTTGTTTAGATTTCAGTATATATTAATCAGTATTTGGCATGGTTGTTATGGATGAATCGTCCAGGTCATGATCTAACTTGGAGAGCAATTCGTCGTCGACATACTCGTTCAATGGAACGACAAAATAGTACAACAAGTAGTTATAAATGTCTTCCAACACCATTACTAGCTGATTCATCAAAATCTCTATTAGCTAATGTAACATGTCTTAATGATCAACCATATACTAATAATACAAGTAATACGTTACCAATAACTGTATTAAATCATGTTATTCCACGTCAACAAGCTAAATGTAAAAATCCTAATCATCATCATGAACCTAATGATGTTTTACTTCCTCGTGATATGCGTGTATTTCGTGCTGAAATACGTACAATTATATCCGAACTTCAATTTCTTACAGGTCATGTTAAACAAGAAGATGAAGAGGATGATATATCAGAAGATTGGAAATTTTCAGCTATGGTTATTGATCGTTTATGTCTTGTTTTATTTACGATAATGACATCAATATTTAGTTATATTACACTTTTTTCTGCACCAAATTTTTTTAAATTAAGATAAAGATTATTTTGATTGTTTTCATTCTTATCTTTTCTTTTTGTATATAGATGTGTGTGTATGTTTGTATAAGTATGCTTTCTTTTTATATAAAAACAGAAAAGCAAAAGATGAATGATAAGTTTAGACAACGAACAAGTAAAAGAGGTCGACTGTCTCTCTCTCTCATTCATATTTTCTTTTTTACGATCGGCATCACACTTGCATGTTAATTGCTCTTTACTCTTCGAATTTGTTATTCTTGTCGATAGAACATAACGCTACGGTATTTTGTCAATGACATTGAGGTGAGTCGAGTGACTTGAAGCATATAGACTAATAGTTTTTTGAGCACATATATATGCATCTATATATATATATATATATATTGTTATTCATTCATAGGTGAAAGTCTTAATGAGACAGTTAAACGGCCGTTCCTTTTAATTCATCATTCCATTCTATTTAGCTATCCATAGTTGATTGCTGATTCATCATTTATATATGAGTCGGAGTTCAATTTCCGCTCAAGTCAAGTGTGTTTGTGTGGGAAATGGAAGAAAAGAAGAAAAAAGAAAATAAATGAATGTTTGTTGGCTACATGTCATACGTTCTCTCATTTTCTTTTTTTCTAGCAGTTTGAATCCCCGCGAGAATAAATGACAATATGGACGAATGACTAATCGAGAGAAAGAGAGTTTAATGTCCGTAGGGGTGCGGCAAACAATATATCTATATATATAGTAGAAGTCGATTTAAATCGTTTTTCATTTATTTTAAGAAAGAATGAATTATTCTTTCTAATAGATTAATCCATTCTTCTACAATTGTTCTCTTTCATGTTCAAAGAATGAATCATTTTGTCACATCAACGTCGTCTTTCTTCAAGCACATCATGCCTCTTTTTTTTCATATATTATCTTGATGTTATTGAACATAAGAGAAATAACTTGTTAGTCAACTAACTTTCTCTTTTTTTTCCTTCTTGTTACTCATCATGCACCAATCATAAACGAGAGAAATACTAGAATGAGAGGTTAGTTTCACATCACTGTCTGTTGCATATAGCAGAAAAAAAAAAGAAAAACGAGAGAAAAGAATAACTACTCATTCATCGTTTCTTTTGGCAACTACTAAGTCATTCAAGTAAGTTCATATATCTTTATTTGACTGTTTAATCTCAACTAATTCAGTTCGTCTCATCATTACTATTCGTAAACTTAAGCTTAACTAAATACAGGTGTCAAGATGACTACGATTCTTATTTCATTTTTCGATCTTGAATATTTATATTCAAATAAGTATTCTTTTGATACAATACAATGTAAATTTTTTTTCTTCTATATATATATACATATCAACAGACATCTTTTGTTCGTAGAGTAATATTGTTGTTATTGAATCGTCTATGTGACAAATGAGTTATTGATGAGATGAACTCCTGGACAGCAACAGCACGTCTCATTCTTTTCTCTCATCAAAAACTAATCATTGAACAGTAATGTACATACACATATATATATAGGAAATGTACACGTGTGTGTGCCAACATATATATATAGGTGTATGTACATTACTGTTCAATGATTAGTTTTTGATGAGAGAAAAGAATGAGACGTGCTGTTGCTGTCCAGGAGTTCATCTCATCAAAAACTAATCATTGAACAGTAATGTACATACACCTATATATATATGTTGGCACACACACGTGTACATTTCCTATATATATATGTCCGAATGAACACTATAGTAAGTTTATATCGATTTGAAAACCGTTTTGTAAAAAGGGTCATAGATTATGGGAACAAGAAGCAAAAAGAACGAGATGAATAATCTTGTTATTGTTGCACTTAATGAGCATTTTTTCTTCCTCATCTCGAGATGCCACTCACAAAAATGTATGTATATATATATATATATAAGAAGAAAAAAAAAGGAGTGTTACGAGTTTGTCGTTGTTATTACATATTAACGATCAATTTTAAGGTTTCGAAACGTCAATAATATTTTTAATATACCTATGCAAAAAAAGAAAGTAAATGATGTAATCGGTTAAGCGTTATCAGTAATCATTGAATAATCAAGAGATATTTAAGTAAACATTATGAAGACAAAGGATGTCAATACGACTATTGTCTTTGATATAGAGAAAAATGTTCAGAATTCGATAAGAAGAAAAAATTATTTTACACCTGTTATAAGTTATAAGTGAAATCGTAAGTAAGTAAAGAGAAAGAGAAGAGAAAAAAAAAACTTTCATTCATATTTCTCGTTATTTCAATGTGCATAGCTTTTGATTCAATTTATAATAATCACTAGTGCGCATACGTTAGCCTTTGAAATGTATCGCTGTGTTTTTTTTATTTATTTCAAACTCGCATCGCCGCATGTCGATGATGAAAAGATCATTATGATTAATTTTAATGAGAATAGGATTTAGTATAATTTGATATTTTAATTAATATTTTTAGATTTAAAGTGTTATAATGCCACGCCTCATCGATAATCTTGTTCATTTCAATGGTAAACATGATGAGGTAAGAGAATTTATTTTCTTTTATATATTTTTTAATTCAATTTTCTATACAGAAATCTAGAATAAATCGACGGGTAGGAATATAAAAGCATTTCAACTTTGATTTTCTTTACGTTAACCAGCTGCTCTTTCTTTTTCTTTTGACTGATTTTGATTCAATTTTTAAAGCACACATGCATATTAAAACAGATCTATGCCATACTCAATTAGAATTACTGTTGATTGTGGACATTGTCCGAGTACTCTATCTTCTTTTCACTACTTGTATATATCAATCGAATTATATTTATTCTATTCTATGTTGAGCACACGTGTCAACTATATTAGATATCAGGCAAGCTTGATTTCCGTTGTCAAATAGACATATGAAAATGAATGTGATCGATTGAGTGTCAATATCTAATTATAAGAAAACGAGAAAAGAAGTAACTGATTGTATCTTTCTTGAAGTATCATACTTTTTTTTCAAAGTGTGACAGCTGCTTTTCTTTTGTTTAATTTTCTATTCTTTTAAGTGGTATCAGTAGTTCTTGTTTTGCTTTAATAGAGATAACCATTGATGATGATGATGATGATGAACACGTACAGACTTCTGAACTTCGGATAACGAGGCAAACATATATACATACGCGTTTAGATAAGACATGTAAAGGATATGAGTGTTATATTTTGTTTTATCAAATAAAGCGGCCGATGATGAAACACAATGTATCGACATATTTATGAATTCCATTGATGATTAGAAAGAAAAGCGCGTCCATATACACATATTTTGAACTATATGATATTCTATTTTCACGTCAACTTGAACTTTATAATTCTTGTCTTAGATATATATTTGCATAAAAATGTGCATAGTTTGTACATCTAATTTGATGGATCGATGATGAGACGAGTAGAGCAGAAGAGAAGAAGAAGGAGAAGAATAAGAAGATGATGGGATGGCACTGACGCCAATCGATCGATCAAATTAGTCTCGCGTTCATCTATGTATGCATGTCTGTTTTTGTTGTATGTTCTTTTCTTATTGTCCAGATCGATGAATGCGCAGCTGCCCGTCAAATTAGTTCGATCGATATCATTCGAAAGTTCCTAAGAGAAAAATAAAGAAGGCGTGTTATGGCTAGCAGCAATCATATTGTTCATTCAACCTAAAAAAATCAATTTATTTTTATCCTACTGTTTTTCCTCTTGTATTTTTTTTTATTGATTAGATATCGTGTTCATATTTATATAATAGAATTGTTTTATTCTGTGTAAATACATATTGTCGAGTTACTTCATCATCAATCATTATTCAAATCTGATTCATATATATAGATTAGTATTTTTGAGAATATAACAACTCGAATTCTGATTCGATGAGTGGTGTTTGCATGTATGATGAAATGATAGACCTAAGGGAACGAGTAGGTATAAAAGTAATAAATGCTATCGAATGAATAACGTATTCTGATATTTACAAAATTATGCTCGCTTAGGGATTGGTTATAATATAAAATGATTTTATCTAAATTATCATATCAGTTGTCATTTATAGTTTTGGAGTTTGATACGAAAAAATGGGTATGAAACAATCACGAAAATTTCGTGAAGAGAGACAGACAATGGAAATTATTATTCCGGAACAGGTATTGAATTAAGAATAATAGAAAAAAACGTATATGCAGACATATGAAATTCAATTATTGCTTGTTAATTATACGCTTGATTTAAACACTTGCTTTTCTCTTGTTATTTTTAAATTCATATACTGAATAAATAAATATATATTCAATGTTTTTATTTAGAGTTCACCTGCATTATCACATAAAATGGGTCTTGTTAATTTAAGAGATTTAGTTGAAGCAACTGCACATAAATGGTATAAAGATAATGAAAAAGATTCAACAAAAGCTAAATGGGGAAGAACTTATAATTGGAAAGAACTTGTTAAAGAAATTGATTGGAGATCATTAAAGTAAATAAATCAAGATTTTATTTCGAAAAAACTAATTTTTAAATTTAGAGTACGTCATGATCCAGTTATTTATACGGATCTTGAAATGCCCGGTGCACCAAAAAATCATATATTATTTCGTTCATCATTTCTTAATGATACAAATCGTGAACAAGATTATAATTTAAAAGCTGTACGACGTACTGTATCAACATGTTCATTTTCAATATTCGAAGGTTATACAACAGAACAGACTGCATCACTTGAACTTCAAGTTCCACTACCCAAATGTGTTCTTGAAGCTAGTACTGGTTTTCGTCGAGAATATACACTTGAACAATCACGTGATAAACAAGTAGAAGAAGAATTAACATGGTCTGTTGAATCAAATATTAGGGTAAGCATTTTGTTCGTTGAACTGATATGAATCATTTGAATGGTACAAAATATATACAGATTACTATAAATGATTCATTACCGCCAAGTTTTTATGCAAACATATAAATATTCGATCATTCGTCAACACTTCTTTTTCATTCTTCTATTACTTTTAAGTGATTGAATGAGTAATATAAATAATCGATTCGTTTTTTCTTTTTGTTGCATATAGATTCCTGGTATGTCGCAAACAACAGCGGAACTTATTGTACAAGAAGATGAATATCATGGTACATTTGAAATTAAATCATATTTTGTTGGTGAAATACGTGTTAAATTATATAAAGATGCTCAGGAAATTCTTAGTTTGGAATTTGGTGATCTTGAAGATTTATTTCCACGTGAAAAAGGTTTTCGTAAAGATAGTCGTGGAATTTATCGTATAACACGTGGAGAATGTAAAGCACGTTTTGGTATTTCACAAAAAGTTGAATTACATGCTAAACCATTACCTACACAAGACACAAATCATCGTACAATACAACAACAAGATTTACGTAAGAATAGTATGAAAGATCTTCCAGCACCATCAGCACCTGTAACAATTCTTCGTGAACTTGTTGCGACAATAAATTAATCATATTCTTCAAGTTTGTACATAGAACAAAAGAGCTTAGCACTTCATTTGTGTGTTTTGTCATATCTTTTTTTTTCAAAAAAAAAAAAACAAACAAAAAAAAGGAAGTTCATCATTGTTATTATATAAATTTGACAAAGCAAAATACAACATACAAAAAGAAAACAGTTTAAAGAAGATTAAAAATTTCTACATATGTATAAGTATAATAGAGAAAAAGAGACCATTCGCACACGCACGATTAAATATTCGACTAAGATTATTATTTTACCAAGGTTGAGCTTTATGAACAAACCAAATGACATAATCATCTTTATACTAAACAAAAATTAGAGAAATATAGTATAGGTATCAATAAGAATAGGAATAGGTACTTTTAAATAACTTTTATTGTATTCAACAGGTCCATGAAGTGCTTCTCGAGTTGAGAATTGATATTTTGTTTCATTTGATTTGCCTCGATTGAGAATAAATTCGAAATTAAGTCGACTAAAAAATAAATTTTTAGCTGAAATAAAAATAAATAAAATATATACATACTTTCCATGATAAGTTGCTTCTGTAGTTACACCATTTTTTGCTTCTCGTGCAAATCTACGCCAATTAATACCGGTTTTCATTGTGGGAATTTTTATTGTAATTCTCACAAAATCTTTGGAAAAATCTTGATTAATACCTAAACATTTCCATAGTTAAATAAGCGTTGAAGTTTTATTTAGAATATTTCTACTTACTCGCATTGACTCGTTTTACTTCCTCAAATGTTGCATTATCTTCTTGTTGATCAGGAGTTGGTTCACTTGAATAAATATTAAATACTTTATTAAAATCAGTCATAATTTCTTTTCATATAAAATCTAAATAAAAACAAAACTTTTTTTTGTTTATTTATTTTTCTCGTTGAGGATGATGATGACCGGTACGATCGATCATTCTTGTCGTCCAATTAAAAAGAATGAGTCGCTCATATATGGAAGGAAAGATGAACGAACGAACGCTGTATGAACACGTACAGCCTTCGATCTCATATTAGTAATCACCCTGTATGGCCTCAAACTCTGTTTTTTTATACATTGTTGCTTAGCTTCGAAATGGAATTTATGACTATTGATGTTTATTAAAAATACTGCGACTGATAAGTAGTAGAATGAGTAATATAGAGAGACAGAGAGAGTAGGGTGGGATGTATGATTGATGCATATTGACAGATCCAAAATGATATTTCACGGAAATAATTGAACATGATTCATAAAAGTTCAATAGAAAATTGATTTTAAATAATAAAAGAAAATCAAGGTAGTTTTATAGAAAATAAGAATATGATTAAAAATCAGATTAAGTTCACCTGTTTACCTTAAGATTAAAATACTAATGCATATTTACTTTTATATCAAATAATTATAAAATAATTCTTAGATATTTTGAAATGAATTTATCTTGTATTTTACAATCATGTTTAAAAAAATTGTCATAAATAATTCATTGTATTGTCACTGAGTGACATCTGTATACGATACGCAAGAACATCGTTCAGTGTATATGAACATTGATTGAATACTTTTGAAGTTAGTATTAACAAAAAACTTATAATAATCTGTTATTTATACTCTTCACTCAAGAAACAATTGTCAAATAAAATGAATATCTACAAGTCATTCATCGATTGTTTTTTTTTCTCTTCAACGAACATTGTATAAACATTACTTGATTGAGAGTATATAATAGAAATATTATTCTGATGCAATCTATCCTCTCATTAAATATTACAACGAAAATCAACCGTTTATTTTGAATAAGAAACTGACATGTTTATAGTAAATTGTTAGTCAAAATATCCTGTACAGAAATAAAAGGATAAAGATCTTCACTACTGTAAGTATGATTAAAGGCAATGCATTTTTTTGTTGAATTGAACATGACCTAGTTTCAAATGATGGCAAAATAATATTTATATCTGCATCATATATATCTGACTATATCCAATGTATAAGTATAACAATGTAAGTTCTTTATTAACGGACTATTAACTATACACATCATGGATATGCTCTACAGCTATTTCTCTTATATTTCTCTATCTTCAATTGATACAGTAGAGGTCGTTAAGTTACGATTATTATTATAGATATTATTTCATAAAATTTTTAATTTAAAACTATTTTAACATAACAAGATATTTGAAAGTAAATTTCTTACGTTAAAATAGAATGAATTTTTGATTATTTTATATAACAAATATAGTAGAGTCACACTTTTACCGTTTACAGCATCCAACTGTTTATTTTTCTTCTTGTATTTGTATACTCTGGAAAACGAGAGGTCCGAATAAACCATGACTCTGATAAATGGTATTTTATTATGTTTCTTTTTTATTATCGTTTCATCAAAACCAATATCTTTCAATGATCCAATATTTGGTCAACCAGAACAAATTCATATATCTTATGGACGTATGTTAAATTTTTTCTTTCTAGATTAAAAAAATTATTAATATTTTTCTTCTGTTTTTTATCATTTTAGTCGATCCATCCCTTATGATAGTAACATGGGTAACATTGAATGAAGTTAATGATTCTATTGTTGAATATGGAGAAGACGATATGCTAAGTCAACGAGCAACCGGTAATGTTAGTATATTTCAAGATGATGGTACAGAAAAACGACGTGAATATATTCATCGTGTTGTTTTACGAGATCTTAGACCTGGTCAACGATATTGTATGTACTAAGAATAGTTGACGGTTTTTTTACCCATATTATTATATTTGTTTTAGTTTATCATTGTGGTAGTGATGTATATGGTTGGTCACCTTTATTTTGGTTTACAGCAATGCGTAATGATTCTAATTTTGTTCTTCGTACGGCTGTTTACGGTGATATGGGAAAAGATAATGCTCAATCAATGACACGTCTTCAAGAAGAAACTCAATTAGGTCATTTTGATTTTATTTTACATGTTGGTATGTATTTCTATTTTTATAAGAAAAATATATTTTATTTTGATTTTATATATTAGGTGATATGGCATATAATATGGATTCAGATAATGCTCGTTATGGTGATGAATTTATGAATGCTATTGAATCGATTGCTGCTTATATTCCATATATGACTTGTGTAGGAAATCATGAAAGCAATTAGTAAGTGTTTTTTAATTATGTATTTAAGATTTAATTTGTTTTTCTTTAGTAATTTTTCACAATATTTTGCTAAATTCAGTATGCCATCATCCAAGAATACATACGGTGATGATGCAAATTTTTTTTATAGGTTAGTTATATTTTTGATAGTTTGAATATAGTAAATAATTTCTTGTTTATAAATTAGTTTTAATGTTGGGCCTGCACATATTATTGGTTTTTCAACAGAATTTTACTATTATACTCAATATGGTTTTGATCAAATTGCTAATCAATATGAATGGCTTGAACAAGATTTAAAAGTATGAAGAGAGACAAAAAAATGAAATAGATTATATATTTTTATAATTAAGAAAGCAAATGAACCTGAGAATCGTGCTCGTCAACCATGGATTATTACAATGGCACATAAACCAATGTATTGTAGTAATAATGATGATGATGAATGTCTTAATACAGATGGTTATATTTATGTAAGGTATTAAGAGAGTCATACTATCTATATGATTCCATATAGATTCGTACTGGTCTACCATATATTCAAGCATATGGTCTTGAAAAATTATTTGCTCAGTATGGTGTTGATCTTGAATTTTGGGCACATGAACATAGTTATGAACGTTTATGGCCTGTTTATAATTCAACAGTATGTTTTGCACATTGATTGATTTTCATTTTCTTAGTATTATGAAACTATCAATTGATGCTTAGAAATTGACTATGAGTATTAGGAAATCATGTACATTTATTAGAATCAGTTATAGAGATGAACTAGATCCTCAAGATCAGATATTATACACACTCTAAGAGAATTGATAGTATTAGTGACTTCCTATAGGATATGTATATAAAAGATAGTCTACGAAATTATATAGGTTTACAATGGTACAAGTGGTGCTTATATTGATCCTGACGCTCCAGTACATATAATAACAGGATCAGCAGTAAGTAAAACTGATTTCATGTGAGTTTCTGTAGAAAAACTGTCTAGGGTTGTGATGAGCGTCATGATCCATTTGGCGTCCCTCGTCCCTGGACAGCATATCAAAATACTGATTATGGCTATACAAGAATGAATGTTTATAACGCATCTCATCTATACTTGGAACAAGTATCAGATGATCAGGTCTATTAATTTTTACCTTGCTAAAAGTTAAAAAAATAATTATTTAATATTTCAGGGTGGAAAAGTAGTTGATAATATGTGGTTAATTAAATCTAAACATGGTTCTTATTCATATTTTAAATAATGTTTAAGTCTTTCTTTTCCCCAATGAACAATTTTATCCGTAATTCTATTTTTTTTTGATTAAGTGCAATTAATTGAATATTTATTTAAGGTGCTTGTCATTTATTTTGATTTCATAATTTTTGCTATTTTATATTATTCACATAATATATGACTATATTATTTCTAGATATCGTTCTCTAACATCATTAAAGGATGACAAAAAAACGCCGTAATAATGGTCGAAGCAAACATGGCCGTGGACGTGTTCGTTCAGTTAACTGCACGAATTGCCGTCGTTTAGTACCAAAAGATAAGGCCATTAAAAAATTAATTATTCGAAACATCGTCGAACAGGCTGCTGTTAAGGATCTTAGTGAAGCAAGTGTTTACACAAAATATATTTTACCAAAACTTTATTACAAGTTACATTATTGTGTTTCGTGCGCTATTCACAGCAAGGTTGTACGTAATCGTTCAAGAGAAGCACGTCGTATTCGTACACCACTTTTGTAAGATAATAGTAAAATTCAATAGTTAAATGCATATTTATCATTTTGTTTCTAGACGTCCACAACAAGCTCGTCAACCAGGACAAGCTGGTGGTGCTGGTGGCCAAGGTAACGCTGGTCCAGGTGCTCACCGTGGTGCTGCCAACAAAGAAGCTCCACAACCAGCTAATATTCCTGTTTCTAAAAGTATGTTTCTTAGTTGATATTTATTATATATTTATCTTTTTTTCTTTTGCTTTTAGCATAAATAAACTCGGCATTAGCTCAACGGCGTATCATCGACAAATGTTAACGATCTTTGCTTGACTTCGATCAGTGTCATTGCCGTTGTTGTTTTTTGTTTCGATAAAAAATAAAAAAATTTCATATTAGAATGATTTATTATTTTAATAAAGCATTCAATTTAGAGATTAATTTCGATTAAAAAAAGTTTTTATTCAATCAAAAAGATAAAGAAAGATGTAGATTGATGTTTATTTTGCATTATTTTTTAGTATCCGTAATCGATTCTATTATTTCATTTAGTATAGTAATGAGTAACGATGAAAATCATCGTCGACCACTACATCTTCTACTTGGTGTAACAGGAAGTGTTGCAGCAATTAAAGTTAATGAACTTGTTCAGAAATTTAATTCTCATAATATCGAGACAATTGTTATTCCAACTGAAATAGCTAAACATTTTATACATTTGGAAGATTCTTGGTGTCCTCATGGAGCTGTTAATAACATAAAAGGTCCATGTTATTTTGAAGATAATGATGAATGGTCATCATGGAAAGTACGTGGTGATCCTGTTTTACATATTATACTTCGTGATTGGGCTGATATCCTTCTAATAGCACCACTCGATGCAAATACATTAGCTAAAATGTCAAGTGGTTTATGTGATAATCTTTTAACAAATGTTATTCGTGCATGGGATTTAAAAAATAAGAAACCATTAATTGTTGCACCTGCTATGAATACAGCAATGTTTGAACATCCACTTACACGACAACATTTAGATATAATTACAAAAAACTTTGGATATATAGAAATTCCTTGTATTGAAAAAACATTAATGTGTGGACAAACTGGCATTGGTGCTATGGCATCAGTAGAAACTATTGTCGAACAAACTTTGAAAACCTTTCAACAAATATCACATAATTAATGTTAAAAATATGTATATAATCATCAGTAGCCTTAATTCTATTGAATAAATTAATTATAAATATTATATACAAAAAAAACGACAGATCAAAACATGTTCATAATAAAGATACATATTAAGAGAGAATAAATATGATGCTAGAATATGACATTGAAAGACACACGAAGATATATTTAGATGATGGCACACCAAACACAAGAGCAGAACAACAAAAAGTGGGTGTGAAGAGTGTGAATGGAAGCAAACAACCATGAGAGAGAAAAGAATGTATTATGTGATTTATAATAGTATAAATTTATTTTACTAGTGGATAGATTTATTACATAAATATAAAAGAGATACAATATAATTTGTATCATAGTACAACAACAGAATGCATGAAAACGAAAAAAAGACGATTGCATGTGGATTAGATCTCGATAAAAATATCTGCTTTTTTTCTTTTAGTTTAAATGCAAAAGCTTCGTTTCTTTTTTTTTTAAATAAATGACGTCATGCGTTTGTTTTAAATTCGAATGTTCTGCATAATCATAAATGAAATACAAACTACGCTAAAAAGAAAAAGAAAATGTCGCCTGTTTACATTGCTTGTGAAAGAAAAATGAAAAAGAAGAGAATAAATTCTTCCTAGTGCTTCTATGTTGATTGACGCTTAAAGGATTGCAATTCTGCAGGTAAATGAACATGTGAGTGACTAAAATCTAAATAACCACTATTCATTATCTTTTCATTCAAAAAAACCTATTGTTTCACATAATTTGTCTAGTGAACACCTAGTCTTATTGAATATGTCGTTCATTCTTACGATTTTATCCTTGATAGATTTTGTTCTGCATTATAATTATCAGTTAGAAAAAAAAGAAAATTAGAGAACGAGGGAATAGAATCTATTCTTTCCTTGACTGACTATATCAAGTTTACATGAGTTTTTAAGATAATTTTGTTTGAATAGAACTATATTTGCCCATAATTTTCTGATAATTAGCAACATTACTCTTACACAGTTCAATTTTCTTATAGTATATAATATTAACATATTCATGAAGTATTACAAAGTTTGATAGATTTTTATCAAATGAAGAAAATATTATTGAATAATTGTAACCATAGAAAATAGATTACATAAGCTTGATTAAACACGTTTTTCTTTCTTTCAGACTTTTATTCTCTTGTTATATAATATTTCACTGTGACACGTTTCTGAATGTGGCTTATTCGAAGACATCGTTCATCAACTTTATCTATTCTATTATCTTTAATATTATCTGTTATTTTGTTATACATAACATTTTATGATAAGAAATTTACTGAAATATTATCGCTAAACCGTTTTGAACTCGCAGAACAATTTGATAGTTCTTCCGTTGAATATTTTCGTGTTCAATTAGATTTAACAATAGATCATGCGGAATGTCAAGTCAATGATTTTTTAATTATATATATTCTATCATCCGCAACTAATTTTGGACGACGAAATGTTATACGTTCAACATGGGGATCAAAACGAAATGGTACTTGTTTTGTATTTATTATTGGAGAAATTGCCGGTGCAACATATGATATTGGTTCACTTCAAGTAAAACTTAATAATGAACGAAGACAATATCATGATATTGTTCAAGTAAATCATATTGAAACTTATGCAAATGTTGTTTACAAAGAAGTAGCGGCTTTACAATGGTCATCTCAATTTTATCCAAATATTCCCTATTTATTTAAAACAGATGATGATCTTATTATTGATTCAATTATAGTTTCATTTATGGCTGAATTCTTTGTAACAAATAATTCTCATAATCATGTATTTATTACAAAACATAATTCATTACTTGTTTCACATATGGCGAAATCTGATCCAACAACATTCTTTCGTAGTGGTTGGCCAATGGATTATCAACCAACAGGACGTGGTGGTGGAAAATTTTCTATTAATGAAACTATTTGGCCATATGAATTTCTTCCTCCGTATTGTTCTGGTTTTGGTTGGTTTATGTCGAATAAGATTCGTGATAAACTATTAAGTACAGCAAAGACGTATCCGTTAAATAAAATTGTTTGGATAGGTGATGTATTTGCATCAGGATTTCTAGCTAAAGCAGCACATGTTAAATGTACACGTATTCCAATTGATTACGATCAACCAAGATTCGCTAATTGTTCATGTCTATTTGCTAATAATCCAATATTAACTGTATGTGGATCAACATTTCATGCTGGTAGAGGTGGTACAACAGAAAGCAAATATGATGAATATCGAAAATCTTGGGAAGTTATTCAATCACGTCATAATTCAACACAAATGATAACTGTTGATTGTTAAAATTTATATTTATTTCGAATAAAAGTCAGAATAGGTCTTGTTTAAATTGTTAAAAAACAAATTTTGATTTCAATAAAGAGAATTTATTTAAATAAGTCATGAAACATTATTGTATATTTGGGTAATACTCAATAATTTAATTTTTTATTAATTATTTTCTTTTCTTTTGTGACAGGTATCTTCACAACTACACTAAATGTCCTATAGCACGTGTTTACTTCTTACATTGACTTCAACAGTTAAAATAAAAAACAACAGTCTAGCTTTATTTTTCTCGTTTGTATATTGAGCAAGAATGGAATGTAACATTGAAAGTATTGCCACTTTTTTTCTTCAATTCTGTAAGAAACAATGTAGAATATTCGTCTTACACAATTGCCATGCAACCATTGCTATGTAGTTGTGCAACACAATACATTAAACAATAGGAGTATAAATAGTCGTGTAAAAAACTCAATCGTTAATATATTCCGAAGCAGCTACATAACCGAGTGTTACAGCTCCGTTACTGTTACAGCATCAGTTTATGATCCACAATACTTCGTAGTCTGAAGACTTTTTTACAGTCTTCTAACACGCTTTTCGGTCTTCGGGTGGTACGTTCCAACACATTATGAATGTGGGGAAGCCCTGCTGTCTTCTATCGAAAGATGAAGCTAATGGGCCCCACGAGTCATACCACTGGAGGCCCTTTCTTCAAGTAAATATATCATTCATCACGATTATAAAGTGTGTATGTTTGATATATTACTTTGTAGTAAGGGCACCAGTAAATTCGACGAATGTATTATTATTTATCTATTTTTTTTTAGGTAGAAAATATTATTTATTGTAAATTCATATGTGATAGTATAAACAAAAAATGATGGTCAAATAAGAGATGAAAATTTGTTGTTTTGTTTTTAAGAAATTTTAATGTACAAAAAATATAGAAAAACAGAAGTTGTTTTTTTGACTTCTTTTTTTATGCATTTATAATAAAATTATAAAGTACTGAACGAAATATAAGAGAAAAAAATATGATTTTTACATGTATACTTGAAATTATAACACGTTAACAGAGTATATACACGAGTCTTTCATATTCTATTGTTATTATTATGATAAGATTCAAGAAATGATGAAAGTGCAAACTATATGGCGTTAGATAACTTAAACCTACACAATTTATTTTCTTTTGAAAGAGAACGAAAAATAGAAGAATTGTGATTAGTTCTCCCTCGAGACACATTTTTTATGGCTTCTTATTCGTAAACTGAATTATTTTATAACGACACATTGTATAAAACAGCTCAAATAAATTGTCATATAAATACGCGTACATTCATGATTAAATTTAAATTATTACTAACTATTTTTAATGGTTTGTATAGTAAATATTCAGCATAATAGCAGATATATTTAATAATAAATTAATTGGTTGTCAAAATAATTTATTTTGACTGTTTTTAGATACTGTACGATGTCTCTGGCCACCACTACCATTCATAATAATACGATAGATAATTCACATATTCAAATATTTCTAGGAGGAATACATGAAGCTAATCGTGAATATGTATCGAAGAGTTTATGTGAACGAATTGATGGTCTTATATCATGTCAATTTATTGATGATAATAATCAAGTTGATATTTCCTATGATACAAATAAACTTGATCAATATACACTTTTAACTGCTATTCAACGGCTAGGCCATCCTGTACAGTTAATAAACTCAGAAACTGTTCAATGTCAATTACGTATTGAAGGCATGCATTGTAATTCATGTGTATCAAATATTTGTGGTGCAGTACTTGATTTACCCGGTGCTATTGATGTACAATTAACATTTCTTGATAAACTTGCAACTATTACTTATGATCCTTCGATACTTCATCTTGATGATATTATAACTGAAATTGAAAAACTCAGTTTTCAAGTTGCTATTTCAAATGCTGTAGAATCTAGAACAATAACTGAAAATGATTCAAGTGTGTATATAAAGATAAAAACTATTTTAAAAAAAGCCAATTATATATTCTATAGTACATGATCAAACAATACCAACATCCAGTGAAATAAATATGATTCGTACAAGAAGTAAACATGTTTATTATTATTATATACATAATTATAATATTCTCTATAGGTGCTGAGGATGAAACGATATTTAAGCGATCGAAATCAGTTGATAGAACAAGTAGACATCCTTCATTATCTAAACAAAATGATGATACTGATGAAACTGAATTAGAAACATGTTATCTCAATGTTCTTGGTATGACCTGCGCATCATGTGTTGATAGTATACAACGAAATTTAGGAAAAGTTGAAGGTATTCATTCAGTATTAGTTGCTTTATTAGCACAGCGTGCTGAAGTCAAATACGATCCAGCACATTTTTTACCAACACAAATAGCTGCATTAATAGATAACCTTGGTTTTCAAGCTGAAGTACTTGAAACAGTTGCACGTGGAATGGAAATAATCGATGTTAATGTAAGATAAATTTCATAGAAAGATTTTATTGAAAATGTTTTTTGTTTTTGAAGATAGAAGGTATGACATGTGCATCATGTGTAAATAAAATTGAAACGAATATGAGTAAAATATCCGGTATAAAATCAGTTAATGTTGTATTACTTACAAATCGTGGAAGAATTCAATATGATTCGAGTATAATTGGACCAAGAGATATTCTTAAACAAATTGTAAAAAAATATAAATTTTATAAGACGCATAAATAGTATTATATCTCTTCTGTAGGAAAATCTTGGTTTTCCTGCAACAGTTTTAACTGAAAATTTAAAATCCGAAGATTTAGCACGTTCACATCGACGTATAACACGTCAGTAAGTTAAGAAATAATTTTTATTAAATAATTCTATTGAATTTTTAATAGATGGAGAAATTCATTTATTATTGCTGCTATTTTTGGCATTCCTGCAATGGTTATTATGCTTGTTTTTATGTTTAAATATACAGATCATTCAACAGCACCACATGTTACTGCTGGTTTATCAGTTGAAAATTTAATTATGTTTTTATTAGCTACACCTGTGCAAGTAAGTTTATTTTTTTCAATTCATTTTTTTCTATGAATTTTATTCTAAAGATTATTAGTGGTCGATATTTTTATATTCAAGCATTCAAATCATTAAGACATAAAACAGCTAATATGGAAGTTCTAATTGTATTAGCTACAACTACTGCATATGTTTATTCTATTGTTGTTGTTATTGTAAATATGATAATGAAAATACCTAGTCCTATGGCATTCTTTGATGTATCACCTAGTAAATGAAGATATACTATTCATTTGTTTTCATTAATAGATTATTTATATATTTAGTGCTTTTCATGTTTGTTGCATTGGGACGATGGCTTGAACATACTGCTAAAGTAAAATGAATGAAAAAGAATTATTAAAGATTGTTTGTATAATTTAGGCTAAAACATCAGAAGCATTGAAAAAATTATTATCACTTCAACCACCACAAGGTACATTGGTGAAATTAGATAAGACAGGCAAAATTATTGAAGAAAAAATAGTTCTTGCTCAACTTATTCAACGTGATGATTTACTTAAAGTTCAACCTGGTGAAACAATTCCAACCGATGGTCGAATTATTACTGGAACAACAACTTGTGATGAATCTTTAATAACAGGAGAATCAATGCCTGTAGATAAAACAGTGGGTGCACAAGTTGTTGGTGGTACAAAAAATCTCGATGGTTTAATTATAATGCGTGCAACACATGTTGGTCAAGAAACAGCACTAAAACAAATAATTCGTTTAGTTGAAGATGCTCAAACATCGAAAGCACCAATTCAACAATTAGCTGATAAAGTTGCTGGCTATTTTGTACCATTTGTTGTATCGATTTCATTGCTTACATTAATCATATATATTGTATTGGGTTTTACAATTTTTGATACAATGAAAAAATATTCATCAGTAATTTTCGTTCGAATATTGTTTACACATATATTGTTTACATTTTCTAGTATTATCAATCAATGGATGATGATGGATCATCACGTGGTGGACATTCGACTGATATGTATGGAGCAACAAAAACTGAAATTATACTTGAACTTGCTTTTCGTTATGCTATTACGGTTTTATCAATTGCTTGTCCATGTGCATTAGGTTTAGCAACACCAACGGCTGTTATGGTTGGCACAGGTTTAATAAAATATATATATATAGCTTTTTTTTCGTAAATTAATAATCTAGGTATTGGAGCATCGAATGGTATATTGATCAAAGGTGGAGAACCACTTGAATCTGCTCATAAAATACGTACAATTGTATTTGATAAAACAGGAACAATTACCAAAGGCAAACCAACTGTGATTGATAAAAGAATATTTTTTCAAAATTCACATATGACATTAGATCGTATGTTAGCTATAGCAGGTAGATAAAACTTAGAAATTTTTGTTTGTTTATATTTCTTAAGTTATATTATAGGAACAGCTGAAAGTGGATCAGAACATCCATTAGCTTTAGCTGTACGTAATTATTGTAAAGAATATTTTGCTACTGAACAATTAGGTCTTTGTCGTGATTTCAAAGCTATTTGGGGATATGGTCTTCAAGCTCGTGTTAGTGATATTGATTCTGTTATAAACAGTACGAATTCAAATTCATCACAAACATATTCAGTTTTAATTGGAAATAGAGAATGGATGAAATGTAATCATTTAAAAGTCGATGATGGTATTGATAAGACAATGTCTGTACATGAACATGATGGTCATACAGCAGTATTAGTAGCAATAGATGGTAAGAATAGAATAACAAGAATCATCTTTTTTGTTCATATATATTTATATTTTATATACAGGTAAAATAGTTGGTATGTTAGCTATAGCTGATGAAGTAAAGCCAACAGCTGCATTAACCATCTATGCATTACAATCACTTGGTCTACGTACTATTTTATTAACAGGTGATAATGTTAAAACAGCTCGTGCTATTGCCAGTCAAGTAGGCATTAAAACTGTTTATGCTGAAGTATTACCTACACATAAAGAACGTTTTATTGCTAATTTAAAAGAAAATGATAAGTCTCATGGTAAAATAGCTATGGTTGGTGATGGAATTAATGATTCACCAGCATTGGCACGTGCTGATGTTGGTATTGCTGTTGGTACAGGTGCAGATGTAGCTGTTGAAGCAGCATCAATTGTATTAATCCGTGATGAATTATTTGATGTTGTTGCTGCAATTATGCTTTCAAAAAAGACTGTATGGCGTATTCGAATTAATTTTATGTTTGCTACTGTTTATAATATAATTGGTATTCCAATAGCTGCGGGTATGTTAATTATATATAAATTTCAAAAAAGAAAACTATTTTTATTTTTAAGGTGTACTTCTTCCAGCTGGTGTTCAACTTATGCCTTGGATGGCATCGGCAGCAATGGCATTATCATCTGTCAGTGTTGTTGTTTCATCATTACTTTTACGTTATTTTAAAAAACCAAGAATGGATCAATTTGAAAAAGATAGTCGTTATCGTGAATGGTCACTAAATAAATCAAATGGTATTATCGTTCATCGTGGTATTGATAATTTACCGCTACATCGATCGAAAGGAACAAGTATTATATCAAGCCTTAGAAATAGTCGATTGTCACAAATTGTCGGAGAATCTATCTCAGCTATTAAAAATGCTATTATGGATGAAAAAAGAAAAGCAACAGTATTTTTTAGTGATGAACGATTTCCTAATCAGAATAAAGAAGAAGAAATGGAATTACAAATATCAGCATTATAAATAAATATATATGAATAATCTTTTTTATTTTTATTTTGATCAATAAAACATATATAACTACCCGGTTGAAAAGAATTGATTTTTATTCGTTGAGTATTATCGAATGTTTATCTATAGATTTATTTTCATTCATCAATTTAAATAGGATTAGTTAAGTTTCGTTTGTTTGTAATACTTGAAGTTCAGATAAAATATTTTTATCATTACAAAAGATAACATCAAGTTGTGAGAAAGATTACATGACATATATAATAAATATAAGAGAAAAACTTAGACTTCTGATAGCCATCAAGTGAAAATAAAACAGCTATTTTTATTCAAAATAGTCTGAGAAAAAAATTAAGAATCATAAATAGATATGAAAAATCAACTATTTTATTGCGATAAGTAGACAATAGGTCTTGTGCAAATATACAATCCGTTTTTTTTGTTCTTTCTTCTATCGATTATATATGCAGTGTGAAAATGCATATTTGTGAAGTGCCTCGTTCTGTATTATCTTACCGCAAATCTACAATACTCACGCATACATATACATACTTCATACCTTCTTATAAATTAGACATCGAAGCATTGTAATAGAATATGAATAACAGTCATGTTCATAATTCAAATCATATGCACCATCAGCATCATGATGATACACATCATAAAGAATCAATGACCTCTACACACAATGATCATCATTCAATGATGGAAGTAATAATGATTTTAATTCTATTTTAAATAATAAATTTCGTTTTGATTTAGATGTCTTTTCATACAGGTTTTGTTGAAACAATTTTATTTGAACCATGGATAACTACAACTATTCCAAGTAAAATTATTTCATAATCCAATTTATATAATTGTTCTTTAGTTTTTATTATATCATGGATTTTTATATTTATATTGGGTATTTTACATGAAGGTATTAAAGAATTTCGTCAATCATTAGAAGTAGAACGATTTATTGAAAGACCAATGTCAGTTGAAATTATTTGATTTTAATTTTGTATTCAGTTATTTCGCATAGAATTTCAGATAATGGAAATGAGAATGAATTGGAATGTATGAATATTGAATCTCTTGACTCAACCCATCATACGAAAGCCAAGTAATGAAAAAAGAAAAATATTCTATGAATTTACAAAATATTATATATTATTTTTTCAAGATCTTCTCCATCGTATATTGAACGTATATTGCTTAGTGTCTTATATGCTATTCATTTGGCACTTAGTTATATTTTAATGCTTATAGCAATGACATTCAATATTTATCTCTTTTTCGCTATTATATTGGGTCTTGGTGTTGGTCATTTAGTATTCACACGAAATCGTATAATATCTTCAGCGGGCAGCAATCAACATCATACATAAGAGAAAAACAATTACTTGCAAAATTAAAAAGAAGAATATAATAATTCTAACTTTAGATTAATAAAATTACGTTTTTTTTAGTAAAACTGTATAATATTTGATAGAGGAGTTAATCAAAATATACGATGTGTCTATATTTCCTTTCAATTGATCGATTTATCCATAACCCATATTATCATAGGCGGCAGCAGATTTATCGTCTGTTTGCTTAATACAATATATTTCTTCACATGGACAAGTATTGTTAGACTTCGTCATAGTTGAAAGAATATATGGTGTAGATTGATTATTCGTAGGACATTTAAAAGATAAATTTAACTCATTGGCATTGGCAGTTGTCTTATGGAGACTCATCATAGAAATCTAAACGTGAAAATGATTACGACCTGGACATCAAATATAGTTAAGAAATAAAAACTTGTTATGAAGTAGATGATTAATCGATCGAGTTTAAATATTGAATCATAAAAATAAAATCTTGTCAGTTTTATAGCATTTATATTGAGGATTACTGTATGTTATTTTGGATATAAAAAGCTTGTTTATGACGTTTTATTGATACAAAAAGCAAGAAGTAAAAGAGTAAATATCAACATTATAAGAAAAAAATTTTTTTAAAAATGTCGAATAAAATTCATAAATTTATTTTGCTTGTGCTTGAAATCCTAAACCAGCAATTTTATCAATCACAGCTTGTTCCGATGTCTTACTATTATCAAATTCAACACGTGCTTCCTTTTCATCTAATGATACCTAAATAAAAAAAAGAAATAGTCAAACATTTTTTTCTACATCATATATATTCTTACTTTTACTGTTTTAACACCATCTATTTTACCAACATTACGTTCTATATTTTTGACACATGATTGACATGTCATACCATTTACACTAAATACTTTCTCTGTATTTGAACTCATATTTTAATCGAATTAAAATTTCTAAAATATTTTTAATAGATTATCAGAAGAAAAATAATTATTAATTGAACAATTCATATGAACATATAAGAGAATAATGAAAATAGAAAGATTTTAAATATTGAATATTTATTTGTTTATTATTTCGCATAAATAAACGGAAACCTCCTTTATCTACCCTACCAATATACACTCGATTTTCACTCTGAAAAAAATGGATATTCGAATCAAACTATTTTTTGTACTTACAGTGGCATCTGTCTCTCTCTATAAAACATCAAAAGAGGTTCTTCACCATGTTGAATCACTCTGTTAATGGCTAACTTTTTCAACATTGATAAGTTTCAGCAGAATTTTATCTAAGTTTTAATAAAAAACATGCTGTTGAAAGAAATAAAAAGTGGATATGAACAATCATCAAAAAAAACGAAACACAATCCTAATCAAGGTATTGTCGAAACATTGAGTACTCTACGTGAACGTTCTCTACGTTACATTGATGAATCAGCTTACAAGTAAATATATTTTTTCAAAAATTCTATATTTATTTTATTTTAATCAGAAATTATGATCGTTTATTACCTTTAAATGGTAATCAACCAACATTAAATAAACATCGAGTTCAAGATAATGATTTACCACATATATTTGAAGCTTTAAAAACTGTTACTATGATTACTCACCTTGATCTTCGATACAATCGTATTTCAGATGAAGGTGCTATTCTCCTTGCAGATTTTTTAGCAGTAAATTTTATTTTTCTCTTAAAATGAAAATAACTTCTTTCTTTTTCTCTATTAAAGCAAGATCAATTTTTATTAGTACTTAATTTACAAGGTAATGATATTCATCGAAAAGGTGCTCAAAGTTTAGCTCATGGTCTTAAAGTAAAACTTTTCAAATTTAATTTTTTATTTTAATTTTGCAAAAATAGGGAAATCAAGCATTATCATCTTTATCACTTGCTGATAATAGTATTGGAAAAGGTGGTGGAATGGCATTTGCTGAAACTCTTCAAATAAATATTAATCTTGAAAATCTTAATTTATCAAATTGTGATTTAGTATGTTATTATAGAAATAATATTTATTCGAGCGATAAAATAACGCTTTATTTAAGGAAATGGATAGTCTAATTGCAATATTAACTATTCTACGTTATAATCCAAGTATAAAATCAATTGATATAAGTCGTCCAGTACCTCAATTTCATTATACAAATTGGATGGATGATGTTGCTATTCATATTGCAAATATGCTTGAGGTTATTATTTATTTTAATGAATTCAAGAATTATATATATAGAAATTATTTAGAAAAATACTGTTTTACAAGAATTACATGTTCAAAAATTTGAAATTCGTGATGTAGGTTTTATGTGGATTTGTCAAAAAATGCAACATAATCAAACATTATATCATCTTGATCTTAGTTGGTATGTTTAAATATTTATTTTGATTAAATAAAAATAAATAATCTATATATATTTAGTAATCGAATTACACGTGATGGTGCTATTTATTTAGGACCAATGCTTGAAAAATGTAGTCTTCTTCGACTTAATTTAGCATTTAATCGATTAGAAGATGAAGGTGCAGGTCATATAGCAACAGCATTACTTCATTCAAATTCGAAACTTCGAAGGTAAGAATATTATTATGTATTAAGAATTATACAAAAATTCAATTTTAGTCTTGATATTCGTTCGAATTATATTAGAGGCGATGGATTATGTAGTATTGCCGATGCAGTTAAATTTAATTCAGCACTGACAGAATTATTTCTTTGGGGAAATGTTAATGAAGAACGAGCATGTTTAGTTAGTAGCACATAAGATTAAGAATAAATCTATGTTATATATGTCTTTTTTTGCTGATTCTAGGCTTTTGAAAATCTTGTTAAAATTCGTCGTTTTGACCCTGATAATATTGATGTTGCACCATATCGTGTTGATGCTCGAACATATCTCGCTGAATCTACAAATAATCTTGATAAATATGCATATTGGAAGCAAGTTGAACCACGTCTTCGTGTTCAACCAGCTGTAAATCGAGAACCATTGAGTGAACGTGCCTAATATATTTTATTCATATTTTTCATTTAATAAATTAAAACAAAAATCACAATTAGCAAATCTTTTCATATGCAGGTTTAATATAATCTTTATATACAAGTCCTATTGGATTTTGATAATGATTATTGTAAGGAAGTATTAATCGACGACCTACATAAAAGGTGGGTCCATCCGTATTAATTATATATAAAAGATCACCACAATTGAATTCCAGTTCATAAGAATTATTTTCTGTTGAATGATGATCATATAGACATACATAGATATTTTCAGGTAAAATCGGATTAGCGATTGGTCGAGGAGGTCGTGGTGGTGGTCGCATAGGTGTATCTTGTAAATATTCTAATGATGATGATCTCTAGAAAATATTAACTATTGCAATTAAAGATTAATCTTAAGGAAAAAAATATATATTACGGATAGAAAAACACATTCTTCAGGATTTTCATAAACTTCGTCAACTAATAAATAGATAATAAAATCTAATATATTATCAAATTCTCTTACTATCAATATTTGATCGAATTGTAATTCTATTAAAAGATGTAATCCATGTATCAGCAACACCTGTTTCAGTGGTAAACTAAATCATATAAAGTTAAAATGAATTTTTCATACAATAATCAAAAATCTTACATTTTCAACGGCTGAATCATGTTTAAATTGAAAATCTCGCTTGTTTCCATTCACAAATGAACAAGCTAAAGAATGAGATAAGTTTTAATATTGTACAAAATACAACTTACTATCATCAATAAGAAATTTATGAATAAGTTTTCGACTTTTTCGATTTTGATATACAGTAAAATAAATAAGTTTTTCATTCTTACAATATGTATATGATAATTCACAATATACCAATACTTTAAATTTAGATTCTAAAGAGTTTAAAAAAGAATACATACATATTTATTTGTTGTAATTAAATATTTACTTTTTATTAAAGGTGATAAAATTGTAGAATCTGAAATAATAAATTATATTTTTGTTATTCAATTAACAGATATTTACCTTTTCGTACTGTTAAATCTCCTTCTTTAACTAGTATATTATCTGAGGATACTATTTGATGATTTGTAGGTTTAGTAATAGGAATATCTGTTGGATCTAGTCGAGAATAAGTATCAATAGGAGGAACTACGATTGATGTAGCTGCTTCATCATAAACATTTTGTAGTTCAGGATTTTTATATTGAAATTCTTGAAGCATTTCAATAAGGGTACTTTTCTCAATTGTTGGCGTTGGCCAATTATAAAAAACTAGAAATTAAAATGAATAATCGATTTATGATAACGTCATTTTTACTTTGACAAAATTGTTGAAAATTTTCATTTAATCTATCGATCGACATTTGTTATGTTGGAAAAAAAACAGTTACAACAAAAATGTTTATAGATATGATATAATATAAGAAAAAAAAAACTTGTTTTTATACTCTTCTTATCAGTTATGAGTCATCAATATACTCTAAATAAATAACTATAATAAATTAATGATTTTATTATCAGACAAAGTATGTAATCACAAGTTTAAGGAGATAATAATTAGTACATCATATTGACGTAGTTTTTTACACGCAATTGTATGAGTTATACAGTCGTTTGTCGATCTTAGCATATCATGCAGTGGCGGCGGAGCGTAGTAGGCCTGGGCAGGCTCGATTTCATGAAAAAACTTTCTATTATAGTTTAATTTTCATGCTCTGATAAGTGTCTTATTATTAAAAGATTAGCGTACACTTTCTCTACTATTAACTTGTGTCCACTGAAGTGTTTTTATGAGATTTTGCTGATGTGGCGTCTGTATCGATATCGAGTTGCTTGTTTTTCAAACTGCAGAGTTTTATGTTTGTTTTAAACTTCTGTTTAAAATAAGGTTTGAATTTTAGATGCTCATTAATCATTATTCGTTTCGCATACAACCCATGTAAAAAGATAGGGTAAAAATCAGATTAAACTCCATTAAAAAAGGGTTAACAATCTGATGCAATCATACGCTGTTGATCGATTTTAATCAAAAATAACCGAAAAAAACTAAAATTTCCTTAATTATTACAATGAATTGCGATTATAATCAATTAAAAGTTCGCGAAAATAATTGATTATAATTGATGAAAATGGGTTTCAATTTGTTCAGTTTGTCTCAGGCAAATGTCAATCAAAATCAATTTTTTGCTCGAACTACTAATCGATTTTAATTCCAGTTCATTGTAATAATCAAGAAAATTTTGATCTTTTCGATTATTTTTGATTAAAAATCGATTAAAAACGTATGACTATAACAGATTTTTAAGCATTTTTCAATTGTTTTTCTCGTCAAAGTTTTTTAGATAAGAATGCCGACTAGACAAAGTCAGACTATGTCTTTTTAAAGTAAAAAACAAAAGACTGACAATAGTTTTGAGCACGAATAATTTAATTTTTCTTCATCTATTTTTTGACTATTTTCAAACAGTATTTCCGTATTACACTTCCAGTTCATGTTTTCGTTTAAAAGAATAAAGCATCATGTAGCTATTAAATTTCAGCAATGACTAAAGTCAACAAGAAAGACTTAACGATTAACAGTTAAAAAGATCTTCGTCTAATTTGCTCAGGGGCGCAGAATCTTCCGTAAAAATGAAAAATTTCCGCAAACGCAGAAAAATCAATCAAAAGTTTCTCTCAGTATTGAAACAAAATAAAGGTTTTTTTTAAATATTTTTGTTAAATAAATGAAAAGAGAGAAGAGACTACGATATGTTTAAAATATACTATCCTAATGAACATATCAGATCATTTACGTATCAAATAATATTTTCATCTAAAAAATTTCTTTATTATTTTCCCACAGAAAAAATTTCAAAGGCAATAATTTTTCAAAAATTTCCCCGAACGCGCGTTCGCGCAGAGGGGCATATTCTGCTCTCCTGAATTTACTACCTTGAGTAATTCGTTTGAAAAACTGAGCCTACTCTAGAACGAAACCATTCCGCCGCCTATGATATCATGAAATATATATTTTTAGTGTGATTTTGTTACTAAAGTATGTATGTAAGCGATGTGCCACCAAAGCAATACATTAGAATTACTTCCCCTAGAAAATTTAACTTGCGCCGCTTATGACTATATTTTGATTGGTTCAAAAAAAGCATTTTCGTTCCTCCGTATTTTACCCAGGTCTGATTTTAATGCAATCAGAAAGAAAATAAAAGCATACATAGACTAACTGTCTAGATAAGAGAAAGAAAACATTTGATTTCATTTTGTTTCTTAGATGGTTGTTCCAACAGATGATTCCACGACGAAAAAACAATGGATCCATCTTCGTCGAATCCTTGAACGAGCTGGACCTTTTAAAGATCCAAATTTTGAACCATCTACTGAGGTTTTATTATCGATATTATTGCATAATATTCTGAAATTTTATTAATTTCAGCTTTTATCAGCAATTGAATCGGTGAAAATTTTAATTATTGGTGCTGGTGGTCTTGGTTGTGAATTATTAAAAGATTTGGCTCTTATGGGTTTTTGTCAAATCGATATCATTGATATGGATACAATTGATTTAGCAAATTTAAATCGTCAATTTTTATTCACGTAAATAAATACAACAAACATATTTATGTAAAAATTCTTCTTTTTACTTTTCCAGTAAAGCTGATATTGGTAAATCAAAAGCTGAAGTTGCTGCAAAATTTATTATGAATCGTATTCCGAATTGTAATGTTACACCGTATGTGAGATAATTTATAATATTTATGGAAAAACGTTTGTTTTTCTTCAGACATATGAATAAAATTCAAGATTTTGATGCATCATTTTATTCAGGTAAAATTAATTTCTATTGATTATTAATACATATTTATATGGTATTTTTTTTATATAGAATTTCGAATTATTGTATGTGGTCTAGATTCTGTGGTAGCCCGTCGATGGATTAACAGTATGCTAGTAAGTTTTAGGGAAAAAAAAGCAGGGTGGTTATTTCAAATAAAATTTTTCATATTAGGTTAGTATGCTTCAATATGATGAAGATAATCAATTAATACCAAGTTCAATCATACCTTTGATTGATGGAGGAACTGAAGGATTTAAAGGAAATGCACGAGTTATAATGCATGGTTTCACTAGTTGTATTGAATGTACTTTGGATTTATTTCCTCCTCAAGTTAATTTTCCTCAATGTACAATTGCAAATAATCCACGTTTACCCGAACATTGTGTTGAATGGGTTACGAGTATTCTTTGGCCAAAAGAAAAACCATTTGGTCAAGATATTAAAATCGATGGTGATAATGTTGAACATATCCAATGGATAGTTGAACATGCAACAAAACGAGCTAATGATCATAATATAACTGGTATTAATTTTCGATTTACACAAGGTGTGGTTAAACGTATTATACCAGCTGTTGCATCAACAAATGCAGTTATTGCATCTATTTGTGCAACGGAAGTCTTTAAACTAGCATCTTCGTATGTATACAAATATTGCCATTAGATATATTATATTCTATTTTTTTTGTCCCGAATAGATCTGTCATGCTTATGAATAATTATACAATGTTTAATGATATCGAAGGGATATATATGCTTACATATCCACCGGAAAAGAAAGAAGATTGTCCAATATGTTCAAATGTTCCTATACGTATTCAAATGAGTGAAACATCGAAATTTCAAGAATTTATCGATTTACTTATAGAAAAATAGTAAGAACCAAAAAAAAACACTATTTGATATATTTCAATTGTTTTTCTTTAGTCACTTAATTGCTCCATTAATTTATACAGAAATCAATGGAAATTCAAAAACGTTATATATGACAAGTACAGAACAAATGAGTGAAGCAACAAGACCTCATCTTAAAATGACATTACAAGGTAGAAATTTGTTATTAAAAATCTTTTAACTTTATTTTTCTTGTTAAGAACTTGGATTAACCAATGGTGCAGAACTATTAGTCGGCGATCCAGCACGAGCATCATCAATGCGTGTGATTCTTACATTAACTAGTTCAATGGAAACCTCAACTGCAAAATAAATACATAAAATGACAGTTTTTACATATATATTTTTTTATTATGATATTAAAAATCAAGAAACCAAATTTAGGTGCTAACCGAAATCTAACAATCATTTTTATTCTATTCTAGATGCATATGGCATGAGCACCACCATCGATACGTTCATTTATCTCAAAAGAGATATTGAACAATCATTTCAACGTGTTCAAGCCATCTCTAATTCTTCTCAATATGATCAACAAGAACTTGATCAGCTATTTAATCATATCTCTTGTACTCTTGATGATTTACAAAAAATAAATCAATCTGTAAATATTCCATTACCTGATCTATCGGAAAATGAGAATGATTCTGAAGGAGAAAATACAGAATTTATTTCACAAAAACATTTTACTGTTAGTTATTCCAAAGATTCAAATATAAATAATGGCACAACATATGAAGAACGTGAAGATTTTATTCGTCGTATGAAAACAGAATTAACTTATTATAAAAGTAAAATTCAACCAACTAAAAAAGAAAATCAAATGGAAATAATTCGTCTTGATCAAGCACCAGAAGAAGAAGACGACGACGATGGACATGAAGATCATATTATTCGTAAACAAGATCAACAACTTGAAGATATGCATCATTCGATAGTGTCATTAAAAAATTTAACAAAAAATATTAATTTTGAAATTAATGATCATATAAATATTTTGGATACTCTTGAAACAGATATGGTTAATAGTCATAATCATATAGAAAATTTAACAAATCGAACAAAAAATTTCATACGAACGTCAGCTGGTGGTGTGGGTGGACATACATGTTTATTTGCTGTTGCTATTGGTCTTTTTTTCTTGATTATTATTTTGATTCTTTTTTTCTAATATATAATCTATTGTTGTTTTATGTCTTGGGGTATTTAATACGTACTATTTATTTTTCAGATAGAAAACAAAACCCAAAATGGTTCGAAGTGGTTCAGGTGTTATTGCAAATATTTCTGTACAATTAAACAAACCAGAAAAACATGATACGAAATTTTGTCTTTCACGCGTTCTTCTCAAGTAATAAAAAATAAATAGTTTTCTCGTGTTTTTTCATGTCTTATCTATTTAGTGATATTCATCTATTAAAATCAAGTATGAGTGAAAAACCAACTAAACCTATTGTAGAACAAATTACTGAAAAAATGGAGGAACTTGAAGTTGATAAAGGACAAAATTTAGATGATGAAGAATTAGATGAAGAAGCATTAGCTATGAAAGCCATGGGTTTACCCACATCATTTACATCATCCATGATTGAACGATCTAAACCTCATCGTCGAACACGTTCACGATCTTTATCAGATGAATCGCCATTGGAAAATACTCAAATAACTAATGAAGATTTATTTAAAAATGCATTAGATCTTTGGCTTGAATATTGGAATCTTAATGGTTATCAACTTGCAACAGATACTTGGACATCAAATTCCGATATTCACAATCGTTCTGATGGACATGATACATCACATTCATCCGATGATTCATTATCAAATGTTCAATCTGAACATGCAATAGCCGATCTTTGGAGACAACATTATTTATCTACCTATGATCTATCACTTCGTGAATATTGTCTTAGTCATCAACTTGATTATGATCAATTTGTTGATTATATTTCAAATACTTATGGTGATAATGAAAATGACTTACGAACAAAAACTATCAATCGAAATGAGTCAAATGGTGATAATGATGAAATACATAAACGAATGAAAACCAATAATGATTTACTAGATGAACACAGTGAAACAAAAAGTCAATTTGAACGTCTTGGCCTTTATTTAAATGAGTCAAATTTATCGAATATGAAATCATCAGTAATTGAATATACAAAAAATTGGAATCATTTATCCTATGGGCTTGTACTTAAACAAGCTATTCATTTACATACACAATGGATGGAAGATGATAAAATGGCAGTTGATGATGAAGTTACGAAAGAAAATAAACCAAAAGATAAAAAGAAAAAATCAAAACAACTTATTCTTGATAAAAAAAATATTCCTGAAGAATTTCATAATGATTCTGAACTTTTAAAATATTGGCTTCAACGTTATCGACTTTTTTCAAAATTTGATGAAGGAATTGTTCTTGATCGAGGTAAGACAATAACTATCACGATGAAGATGATGATTTTTATTTTTTTGTTTATTTATATAGAGGGATGGTTTAGTGTTACACCAGAAAAAATTGCACGACATATTGCTAAACGTTGTCGAAGTGATGTTATTATCGATGCATTTTGTGGTGTAGGTGGAAATACTATACAATTTGCATTTACATGTGAAAGAGGTATATATTGTATATGATTTTTCTTTTGTTATACATATCGATTTATATTCTTTAGTAATTGCTATTGATATTGATCCAAAAAAAATTGAAATGGCAAAACAAAATGCACGAGTTTATGGAGTTGAAGATCGAATTGAATTTATTCAAGGTGATTTTCTTGAATTAGCTCCAACACTAACTGCAGATATCGTCTATTTAAGTCCACCATGGGGTGGTCCATCGTATGGTACAATTGATTTATTTGATCTTGAAAAAAATATTGAATTAAATGGTTATCGAATATTTGAAGTTGCAAAAAAAATAACACCTAATATTGTTTATTTCTTACCACGAAATGTCAATGTTGAACAAGTAATCTCATTAATGGATGACAAATCACCATTAGAACTTGAACAAAATTTTCTTAACAATCGATTAAAAACCATAACAGCATATTTTGGTGATTTAGCCAAACAAACTAATTATTAATGAAACTGTTTTTTGTTTGACTTCTGTCAGATAATTCGTTTTTTTTATTTCCGGTGACTTTATTATTATTATTCCTATGCTCTTTTTTTATTATAAACATTTTTAACGATAAAACACAAACAAGATATTTTATTTCCATTCGTCCCTTTATGTATATTTGATACTCAGAGATATCATGAAAAGTTCTTTTTTTTTTAAAGGAAATGATTATTCGTGCAAATTTCGTAAAAAAATGAAAAATCTTTAAATACATTTATTAGAAGAGTGTTGAGTAAATTAAAGTCTATCAACATATGATATTGTAAGCAAATGAATCAAATTCTTTTTATTTTTAAATGGAACTATACTAAATTCGTTTTTTGAAATATTTAAAATTGTTATTCACTATTTACTGGCACGCTTGTATAATTCAGTAGCTTTGACATTGCCACATTCCATAGTCTATTAATAGAATAAATATATTTCATTTTGATAATAAAATAACTTACGACTTGTAATTGATCTTGATTATCAACCCACCGTTGTACAGATATTTGTTTTCCACTTTTGTTGTAGTGATTTGTTTGAACCCATTTTCCATTTTCAAATCGAACGGTCGACTAAAAATTTTTTGAAATAAATATAAAATATTCAAGAAATAATTTATTTAACTGTATATGATTCTCCATCATGTGACACATCTGTAAATTCTACACCAGGTATAAATTCTATTGCTGTTGTTTTTAAAGTTGTTTCTGATCTAAATGACCATTTTCGATCTTTTTCAGCAATGACAACACGAGGTTTAATAGTTTTAGCAAGTGTACGTAATACTTTATTAATACCTATTTCTTTTAGAAAGGCATCAAAATTTTCATTACTTACCTGAAATAGAAAAAGTATTTAAATATTAATAAAAGAAAAATTTGTTAATTACTTACATAATTCCATGTACCCTTAAGAGCTTCAATATCGGTATTATTATTTGCCATTTATTTTTGTCAATATATATGTATATTATGTTAAGAAATATATATACTAGTCTAATCAATAACACGAGTACGTACTACGAGTTCGAAGGTTATACAAACGAGACGGGAAAAATCAAACATTGTCTTTATTTTTATTCGCATCATTGCATAACGAGGTATCGTTTGGTGTATTTATTTTGTCTGCAACGTGTTTTTTCAGGTAAACGAAATGTTTGAAAGAAAAATATCGTTAGGAATATAAATATTGATTATACAAAAATATCCAAATCTACATCTATACTCTTGAATGTTGTTTATTTAGTTTTTAAATTCATAAAAAGAATTAGAAAAGACAGCAACAATAAAAAGTCGACAAGTGCACATTAATCGAAGGTGAGTATAGGTGAAAAAGATTTACATTCACACCCACATCCTATCATTGATCTATTATATAATACATTTCTGACAGCATATAATGTCAATATATTTTCTGTTTCAACTAAATACAAAATATCAAAAACATTTTTTTCTCAAAAAAGTTTTATTTTATTCATCAGAAAGCGTTGTATTTCCTCCATAAAGAGATAATTTTCGATGTATTCTTAACAAAAATAATATTACATTTTGTTTGAAACACTTTGTTGTCACATCCTTTCTACAAAATTTCAACATCGTGAACATTTTTTATATTTTCTGGAACTAATACCTAAAATTTCATACCAGCGTTGAAAAAGGAAACGGATTCATTGTTTTCTCTATTGATAAATGCAAACGTTGTTTTTGTTGCAAATATTTCGAAAAAAAAGAAAGTTCAGTGAACAGCATCATGTAAGCTATTACAGAAATAAAAAAAACTTTATGTTTTTCTAATATTCAATGTTCAGTAATAAATATGTATAAAAGTTTTTTTATGATTCAAGTTAATTATTGGAGAATATAACTAAAAGGAAACAACTTGTTTTTATTTCATTTAATAGAAGACAAATATCAATAACAAACGAGAAGATGACTTTCTCAATAATATTAATCATTAGAAATTAAATGAAGTTCTTCTCATTTTATTTGTTTCATAGTCTTATAATTATATTTAATAGAATCATCAACTATGTTCGACATTATTTAAATTATTAAGTATCAAGAAATGGATTCTCAAATGATATTTTTCACTTTATTTTTATGTATTTGTTTGATTTAAAATAAAAATAATAATGAGTGAATGATTCTGATGCTCACTGTATATAATCGTTTTTATATGAAATATTTGTAAAAAACAACATCATATATCAATGAAGACAATAAGATCATTTTCTTGTTCCAGATCAATTTTGAATAAAATGTTATTTATTGTAAATATTGAAATCTATGAGATAGCATGTGAAACTAAATTAATTCAAATAATAGTTAATATGAGTATTTTTTATAAAACAGACATTGAAAATTAGCACTTTCGTAGGAAATGCAAAGTTTCCTGAGAGAAAAGAATGTATTTGAACAAAGTATTTCATTATTTTTCATTCATTCATTCATTTATTTGAAGGTCTATATAGTTAAGCTGTAACTATGTTGTTAGATATCAAATTATTGTTGAAAAGATATTGTGTTGTTATAATAATTTAGTAATACATGGTTGTGGGTGAAAGTAAAGATGAACCACTTATACCCACACTCATATCCACACCCACAAACACTAAAGAAGTATGCATAGATTTCTCGTTTTCTGCAAGACGTGTTCTTTTTTGCGAAAATACATCTTTGATAGTTGTTTATATAAACCTTCTTTTATTATATACTGTTCTACACTATTTCTTTTTTTCTTGTTTCAATAACGTATAGTTTTTTTGTCAAAACGAAGAGATATGTGGGAGCGTCACATTAAGCTCTCTAATAGTGTGGTAGCATAATGTTGAAATTCCACGCGCTGTTGCCATTGTGCATGACAAAATGCAGCATTGGGTCCGTTCTGGTTTTGGAAAAATTGATCCATCCAGTGTCGCATATTAGAGAAGAATGCACCCGTGCAAATTAATAGAATGCACTTCAGTGTATTGTCATTTTCAGAAATTAACATTGTCTGCCGAACGCCTGCACGATTTCGCTCAAGCTTTATATATTGATTCTGCTGAGTATATAATGTATTGGTATTTTGCTGTACGCTTGGATATTGTTGAAAATTTATCAGATTTTGAAGGTTGTCAAGTTGGTCAGGATTGTGTTCTCCTAGAATAAAAATGAGCGCAAACAAGCGGTTGGGCTGATTTAGGAGACCAAAAAAAGCTTGTTCATCGTCCATGATGCCCACTACATCGTTCAAAGGGCCTAAATGTCCATTGAGATTTGTAACACGGTCGCTGCTTCTTAATATTAACACTCTAGGTTCATTATCGAGTACACCAACTGGTTGAACACCATTCGGATTATTTATCTAAATGAGAAAAGCGGTGTATTTTTACGAAACAGACGGATTTGTTAGGCAACATTATCAGTTATTTTTCTTGTGAACAGAAAAGGCGGATTATTTCAGGAAATTATTCTGTACCATGGTCAATCTGATAGGTGTTTTATATTTGTACGAATTGACAGACTCTCTCAGTAAACCATTGTTGTATTATTTTTCGATCTAAACTCATTTAGTCACGGCGTTTTGCAATGTTAACATCGCGAATTTGGGCATGAAGTGAGAACAAAAAGAAAAGCATCCTTACACTCATGTCCACGAGTCTCATCTCAGTATTAGTATTGCGTTTGTATTGGGATACTGGCCAACTGACACCCCTATGCACACACTCATGATCTGAACAATATTTGTAAGAATTTTTCAGTTATTCAAAAAGGTTTACAGATACTACCGACAAAGTTTCGTATGTACATAACTCACCATCTTGTTTAGATTTTCAAGTGAATAGCCGTTGAACGTGAATGAATAATATTACACTAGTAGTGTTCGATTTTATCTAAAATTTAATGTTTATTTGAAAATTCATAAGATAAAGTTTTGAACAAATATATCGAGTATTTATTGAAAGACTTGCGTTGAAAACCACTTTCGTATGTTTCTGAACGCACAATTTAAAACAGTTTTGGTTTATCAAGTCAAGAAAACTGTCAGAAGTTAATTTCAAACAAGCGAATTGAAAATGAGCTCGTTGTAATAAATGTGCAATATTACCTGTACCGAAATATCAATATATCATTCTATCTGACTAAAAAATGGATTTTCGCTAGCGCGTTGAGATAGCCATTGACTATATACATACTGTATGAATTACTAGAACTTTTGCAGAAGATAGGTTCAACTATATTTAGACTTTCTGAGGAACTATAGCGGCCAGCTACTCATTTTATATGGTCGCTCAAAGATTTTTTACAGTTGAAGTTGGCGCGAGCTGGTGGTCCCAAAAGTCTCCCCGTTTTAGTCTTTCGTGACAACTAAATTAACGGAAAGGCAGGATGCATACTAAAGTAATTGTTTAGGTTAAACGTCTTTAGCAATCAGAAGAACTAAACTTTGAAAAGCTCTTTGCATAAGTTAGTTTCATCATTATTATTTCTGTTTTCAGTGCCTCAGTTCTTATTATTAATAGGTAAAAAAGGAGTGAGTGTAAATATAGGCGGCGTGAAGAAAAAGATCTCATCGACACCCATACAGACACATCTGAAATACTTAAATATATAAAAGAATCGTCATAAAAGGGTGAGTTATATTCACTGTTGAAGTTTTAAGGTTCAGCTGACATATTGACTTGTCTCCATATTGACGGCGAATCGTTCGATGACGTATTTCAGCATTTCCAAACATCTTTTCGACTTCCCGAGAAGACTCTTAATTTCATCACGATCATGTTTTTTATTCAGAGCACGATAGGCCTTATTTCGGTAAAACTCAGCCAGATCGGTATAGAGTTCACTGGAAAAGCGTTCGATCGAATCGATATTTGTTACGCGATCAAGAGTAGTTAACGTTTTTCCAGCATCAGCCACTGATGTGGAAACATAGTAATATCGAATCAGAAATGGATTTGATACTAAACCAGGAGGTACTGTTTCGGAGGAAAGAATGCAAAAAGGATATTGTGGATTCAGCTCAGCTATAGTTTTCACAAACTGCCGGTCCATATTGTAAGTAATCACGTGCGTAGTATCTGGATGCAAAATCAACGATGACAGCTCGAAGTCAGTAAAATACAGGACAGGTTGGCTATCGCATTCAAAATCAAATACAGATGATGATGTAGCTATAGCTAAATAGACACATAATACTTATTAATGAAAATGTTGAATATATGCCATATTTTTCCTATATATGTACAAGTAATATAATAGCATAGAGTTGCAAAAATTCTAAGACTTTCTTATTTTATTTACTGGTCAACGAAAACTTCAAGTTGCACGCAATTGTTTTATTTCAATGGTTATAAATCACCATAATTCGTAAACGAAATTTAAGCATAAATTGAAACTTTAAAACAAACTTGAATTTTCGCTTCACGGTTTTCCCCACAAAATCTCTTCGATTCTTTGGAGACTGGTGGAAATCAAATTTTCTGACAGTCAGTTACGTTCAGGAATGGTCATTATATAAAACAACCATGAATCAAAGGTTTGTATGTATAAGAAAGGATTCGGGTGCAATGTGGGTGATCCACAAAACTGGGTGTGGGTGTGAGTGTGTGTTCTTTTTACTTCCACAAGGCACACCCATTTCCGAGAGCTTGGCCTGCACTACTTCTGACCTTTCACTCTTGTCTTCTTAATGTACTAATCAGTTTACTGATCACTTCATTCGTTGCTTCTTTCTTACCTATATTTTCAAGAGCTTCGCATGCATCGATTTTGACACTGGAACTCTCATCTTCTAATGCATTACCAAAAGATAAATGAAGTACTTTTGCCTTATTAGTAAAAGCTTCAATGAGTTCGTTCTGTAGTTTCAAATCTGGAATGCGCAGTTCTACTGGTTCTCCATTATCATACACCATCAATTTATCTTCATTGATCGATACAGCAGCACACTTCTGAAGTGCTATGTCAATCGCCGTCAACAACCAATCAGCATCTTGAGTATCGAAAAATTTTCTGATAAGTTCATTCAGTGAAACAATTTTTAAGCACTTCAATTGTCTTCCACACACGCAGAGTTTCGAAATTAACATTGGGCCAAAAGCAATCATTACGGCTGACGAATGTAAAATACCATCTATAGTATTTGCAGCTTCATAAGACAATTGTCCATGAGCGTCACGTATATTCAGAAGTTTAGTGATTACTTCATTCGTCGCTGCTTTTTCACCCATATCACCGAGAGCGTGGCATGCACTTGATCTGACCAATTCACTCTTATCTTCTAATGCACTAACCAATTTATTGATTACTTCGTTCAACACTGCCTTTTTACCCATTTTACCGAGAGCTTGGCAAGCATTGTTTCTGACACTGTAACTATCATCTTCTAATGCAATCACCAGTTTAGTGATCACTTCGTTCGTCGCGGCTTTTTCACCCATTTCTTCGAGAGCTTGGCATACACTTGATCTAATTGATTCACTCTTATCTTCTAATGCACTAATCAGTTTAGCGATCACTTCATTCGTTGCTGCTTTTTCACCTATATTTCCGAGAGCGTTGCATGCACTTGATCTGACCCATTCTCTCTTATCGTCTAATGCTCTAACCAGTTCAGTGATCACCTCATTCGTTGCTGCTCTTTCACCTACAACTCCGAGAGCGACGCATGCACTGTCTCTGACCCGTTGGCTCTCATCTTCTAATGCAATAACCAGTTTAGTGAGGATTTCATCTGTCGCTGCTTTTTCACCCATTTTTCCGAGAGCATCGCATGCATTTGATCTAACGGATTCACTTTTATCTTGTAATGCGCTAACCAGTTTAGTGATCACTTCATTCGTTTCTGCTTTTTCACCCATTTTTCTGAGCGCCTGGCATGCACTTGACCTGACCAATTCACTCTCATCTTCTAATACAATAACCAGTTTAGTGATGATTTCATTTGTCGCTACGTTTTCACCTATATTTCCGAGAGCACCGCATGCACCCAATCTTACCCATGCACTTTGATCTTCTAATGCACAAACCAGTTTAGTGACCACTTCATCCGTTGCTGCTTTTTCACCCATTTTTCCAAGAGCTTCGCATGCACTTGATCTAACGGATTCACTCTTATCTTCTAATGCACTAATCAGTTTAGTAATGGCTTCATTCGTGGCTGCTTTTTCACCTATATTTCCGAGAGCGAGGCATGCACCCCATCTTATCCATGCATTCTGATCTTCTAATGTACCAACCAGTTTAGTGATCACTTCATTCGCTGCTGCTTTTTCACCTATATTTCCGAGAGCGACGCATGCACCAAATCGTATCAATACACTTTGATCTTCTAATGCACTAACCAGTTTAGCGACCACTTCGTCTGTTGCTGCTTTTTCACTGATTTTCGTGAGAGAGTCGCACGCACTGGGTTTGATCCTATTGCTGGCATCTTCTGATGCACTAACCAATTTAGTTATCATTTCATTCGTTGCTGCTTTTTCACCCATTTTTCTGAGAGCGCCGCTTGCACTTGATCTGACGCATTCATTTGCATCGTCTAATGCACTAACCAGTTTAGTGATTACTTCCTTTGTCACTGCTTTTTCACCTATATTCCCGAGAGCTTCACATGCATCGAATCTAACCATCACATCTTTATCATCTAGTGCGATAGTCACTAATTTGATCAGTGCAACCGGTAGATTTGAACTGCTCACTTTAGAAATGAATGAGAGCACTTCGATTCTGATCTTTGAATCATCATTTTGAAGTAGATGGGTAATTACATTGATAATTGTTTGACTGCTTATTACCAATGGTGCGCTTCCTAATGATTGTACAAGACATTCAGGAATAATTTTGTCTTCTGATGACAAATTATATTCAATGTATTTTGCTATCCATTCGATCAATACAATGTGTTGCGAAATAGTTGATTGGCTTGATGTCTCTTCAATGCAAGAAATCACAAGTTGCATATGTCTTATTCCAAGAAGATCGATCGGTGGTGTTAATATAAGTTCCCAGAAGGTGTTTAAGCATATGCTTGTATCGGCGTCACTAGAAAGACCGGATAGAAAAGTAAACACTAATGCATAACGTTGATTGTATTTTTCTCGTTGAATAAATTTGATTACTTCTTGATGAATGGAAGACTCTTTGAGAGCTTTAATCAAATATCGTGCAGCAAAATATTCCTGAAAACTGAGGTGCACAAAATAATGATCTTTATCCGTTTCAATTTGAGTATTGATACCTTGTTTATTAAAACTTTTGAGAACTCCCATATTGAGTATATGCGGATGATTATATAAAGAGACTTTTTCTTCATTAAATGCTTTTCTCAGTAAATTTGGTCGTAGAATTATAGTGTTACTCTTCATTCCATTAAACGCAAGATTTTCTAAGAATGCTAATTCTTTTTCACAACGTTGATTGACGTCGTTTTTAGATAATAAATTGTCAATTTCTTTATCTCGCATTGATAAATATTGTCGACATGACCATTCAATCATAACTGTATACAATGACGTTATTGTTAATTCTTTTGTTTCTATAAAATCTTCGTTACTCCAAAGACTACATATTAGCTCTAGATTCACTGGAATATGTGCAACACCCCAAATAGATCGATTTGTCTGTAAGAATTTGAATAATTTTTGACTTTTGTTCAAAGAATTATCTAATTCATCTTTCATTTGATCAAAGAATTGCTGCACATACTGTTCTATATTTTGGTCTGTAAAACCTGTGATTTCCATTTGCACATGATAGGGTAATGCATTTAAATATGGGCGAGATGTTAATATATGATGTGGGGTCTTAAGTAATTGTTCGAATAAATATTCTAAATGTGAGGGAATATTTTGTACAATTTCATCATATCCATCCAAAATCCATAGAGTCTTTTTTGGATCAAAGTTTTTTTTGAGAAGTTTTTCGTCACTTTCAGATAAATCATACGAAAAAATCTCTTTTTTCACAATATCAAGCAAAGAATAATTTTGGCCAAATGGTAAAGGAGGATATCGAATATTTGTTAAGCGACGTAATGGAATCAAAGCCAATAACTCGTACTCTGTCCAATATGAACCCATTGCCCATTGATAAGCAATATACCGACAAAATGTAGATTTTCCGACTCCAGCACGTCCGAACACCAGCACTCTCTTCTCTCGATTTTTGCATGCTTCAAAAATGTTTTTGATATCTATTGCAGTTTCTATTCCATAAATCTCTTCAAAACTTTCCATAATAGCATCATTGTTGGGAGCATCGCGAAGTTGTTTTTCTTTTTGTTGTTGTTTTTTAGTTTCGATGATGGCTAAATTAATGTAACTGTCTTCAATTGGATAGAATTTTGCTGGATTCATTAGACGTTCAATATAACCATTTTGTCTATATTCTTGTTTTATCCATTCAAATAGATGATTTGACTCAGGCTGTGATTCACTATTAAAAATGAATAGAATATTTAGCAAAATAATAAATGTTTCATAAGCTGATATTTGACACAAACTCATTTAATGTATTTTTGGTCAGCTCAAAAAATTTATTAAAGAATTTATAAAAGAGAAACTAATACTTCCTGTATTATAATGAGATTTATTTGTACTTCTATAAACTTTTTGAACAAATCTTTGGCTTTGCTACGGTTTATCAACAAAAAATAGATGTTATTCGCAAACTGTTCGAAATAATTTGTAGATTCTCTTATAAGTAGTTAGCATATGAATTGTAAAAGTTTTAGTTAACGAACTTCGGCGCATGCATTACTATCAGCGTTAGTGTATTTTTTATAGGATATGTACACCTTATCAATATTTAAGTGTCGATATTAAACTGTTTATCGGATAAAAGGAAGGGTGAAACAGTGAGAACCACATTGGAGATGGTTATAACTATAGAATAGAAAGTTTTTATACGATGATTATATTCAGTACATTCTCATTGGCGAATGAATATGATAGATATTATGTATCTTTTCAAATAAACTAACCTTTGAAGAGTTACTTCTTCCAAATGAATAACAAAGAGAAAATCTTTGAAATTGAGTATTTCGGTTTTGGCTCGCACACAAGTTCCAGGCATTAGAATAACTTCTCGCTCCTCTGGACATGCTGAAAATTTGGAGATATCTTTGCCATGCATAGCTTCAATAGCAAACAAAGTGCTTCGTTCATCCAGAAATGGTTGAACAATTTTCAGATCCATCGAAGTTGAATTTACACTCCACCAAATGTCGATATTATTGTTATCAAAGACTGAACTGACATCACCGTAGATGCCTTTCCAAACAACCGCCTTAATTGATGGTAATTTCTTGAGAGCTGTCATAAACAATTTTAAGTAGGCAAACCACGGTTTAAGTGCATGTCGATTTTCAGCTCGAAGTGCTTTGTTGAGACAAGAATAAAAAGATGATGGCATCGAGTAAAGATATATTGCTGCCGATTCATCGGGCATTAACAAACCTGAATGTCGATAATATTTCCTTTTAGCTGTCATAACATAAGTTAAGACATCGGGAATGAGTGGAATTAGTTTTTCCATAGCTTCTTCTAGTGTCAGAATGGATGGATCTTCATAACCAAATATTGGACTTCGATTAGCTTCTTGAAGCTCTGAGAGAGTGCGGCTTACAAAACGATCTTCCGACATAAGTATCAATTATCGTTGTATTTTCGCTGAGATGCGTTTAAATTAACAGTTTGTATCTGAAAGGCAAAAATAATTCAGATATTGTATCAATTCAAATATTCCTCTAGATTAGTTGTCTTCTGTTGAGTTTCCAATGAAAACAAGGTTCATGTTTAGCAAGGATCGTTATGTGGCTACTAGTATACGAAGAAAAGCTTTCGATTTATATGATAGAAGACGAATACGAAGATATTCATACGCATTCGAGTTATCGTTTACTGTAAACGAAAACAAGCGCAATAATTATAACACTGGTTGACCACGCTTATTCCTCATTGTATGCTTACACAATATTATTAAATACATCATGCAGAGCATAAACAGTAAGTGTGCGATATGCCGCTATAAGAAATAAACGACTTGCATTATGAGCCTGAAATTAGAGAGATCGGGGAGTCGGTCAACAACAAAAATGGAGTGTGAATAAATATTGATGAAGAGCTGACAATGTAAGTGAGAGCGTTTAGTTGTGAAGAATTCGATTGTTTATGATTATTTATACGAGATGTTAGGTGGAGAAAAAGAAAATAGTCTAGATAAAATGCAAGTTCAATCTTATCTAAAAGTGAGAACTGAAGTATAAAACCATTTGATGCTTCCAAGAGAAATTTTACAAAAAACTCACTTGAAAAATACACACATAATAACAATAACCTAACCACCAGAAATAGAACTCGTCATGAAAAGAAATATATTATATGAAGAAAATCCATTACAAAAATTTTTTGCCAGAGGAAGAAAAATCGCTATGTCAATAGATTTGACACAAGATATGCGCCGTCTTTTCTACAAGTGACGAGAGCCGACTGTTAAAAATGTTTCTTTGAAAGAAAAGAGAAAGAGATGGATATTGTTTGACTGCCTAGACAAAATATTTTTCTCTTACTGGTTCTCATCTTACATAGTAACATGCGCCAATTTTTTTTCTTTTTATGATGAAATGAATCACAGTCTCTACTATGTTACATGTAACGCAACATGGACGCGTGTTTCTGTATTAATATTTCAAAATGTTAATCAATCCAAAAAATATTCCATTAAGAACATGACTTTAAATAAAAGAAGTACCTATGCGCATCTGAGGGCATGGGTGTGAATATTCCTACTCTTTACTCACACACAGTTATACCCACACCCTCATGATGTGATTTCAATTGATCAGTTTACCCACCAGACTGATTTACCATTTCGCAATGGACTCTCGGTACTGGCCTATATCATGTCGCAAAAAATGAAGATTCTTAGAAATAAAAGCGAGAGACGATTAAAATACACGTAAGAAGCCGAAATCTTTAAAATATTTAAGAAAAGAATTAAAAATCAGCTCCTGAATTGAGGAGAAATATTATCGAGAGAAAAGTTTAAAAATCAGGAATGTCCTGACCAAATCACGAGGTTTAGCAACCTTGCTTATGCATACAACATGGCACTTTTTCTACGTATATCTTTTTCTCTTGTTTCTAACCAATGTTTCTACTTGCTTTTTCTATTTTTCTTTTATTCGAGTCTAATCAAAAGTTCTATCATCATTAAATAAAAAAACACAAATAGAGGGGTAATTATAATTTTATATTATTAATTCTTTATTATATATGAATCAAGTATAAATTAAGTCGTACAGTTACACAATTGTTGAAAAATATTAAATTAAATAAAAATCTACTAGTATCAAAGCATTTCTAGTGCGTTTCCTTTCGAATCTCGAAAGAAATGATTGAACTTTATTACTTTCAATAGAATAAATCAAAACAATGTAGTATCAGTACTTTTCTTTTCTTTTAATTATATCATTTTTTCTGCTTAATAGTTGGAAAACGAAAAACTTTCCTTTTTCTCTTGTTTAATTAGCTCAAAAACTGAGACGTTTCAAAATATGAGAAGTCTGATAGTTTGGATTCTGAAAACATAATCTTCATGAAGATAAATTAATGAAGCCTCACTATAATCTTTTCTTTATTAAGCTTATCAATACTTTTACAAATGAAATAAATTGAATTAATAATTTCTGTAATCAAATGGACCGTTCTAATATAATCTCATTCCTAGTATTAAATTAATACTATTATATCATTAGAAGTCTATCATATTCATTCTCAACATCTACTACAAAAGAAAGTTCATCTTGCCAGTATACTTAGATCTAAGGATTTATCTGTGATCGTTGAAATTCTTCATCCAGAAAAATAGATCAAGATAAACATTTTTTCTTCGAGAAATCTGAGAATTTGTGACAATTCAAGGAAGAATTAAAAAATTGCTGCCTTAAGTACTGAAAGAATAGAAAAAATGACAAAATGTGATGGCTTTCGTGTGAAGAACACGAAAAAGATTACAGTTCTGATGATGAAATGACAATATTTTTAATATTTGTTTGTTCTGTGGGTATTGCTAATCAGTGAGTGTCAAAAATATTCCTCGATAGAATAATGAAAAATAAATGAAAGAATTCTTTGATCGTTTTCGATACTAAAATTTAATATTTGTATGACATCATAGTGACTCTGTTAGAAGACATAAAAGATGGATCAAAACTAAATAAAGAATCGACTCGATGACAATAGGAATTTTATTTTAAAATACAACACGATACGGAGTTAAATAAAATTATTTAAAAAATAAGACATTTAGTTTATATTAATAAAGAAATACATATAAAAAAATAATATAACTTTATATTTACTAGTAAAATGGTTACACCTACCTGTGTGTAAGCAACGGTTTACCTATGTGCGCATTTGTATATATTCATTCAATTTTATACATTTGTGTGTACGTCGTCGACTAGCCGTATTCTCACATATGTATATAGACACTTACTTTTATTTTAACTGAAGTGTATCGTTCTGGGTTTTTTTCCTATATACTTGTTTGTCTGTTTTTTTTCTCTTACACATCGACTCTTCATATTCTCATTTTCTTTCTGTTCTTGTCTATCTCTTTTACACCCACTCTTTCTATCACACATCGCTCTTTTTTACTTCATATTAATTTATTTCTTATGTAGGAAGTATTTTACTTATACTATAGTTTTGAGTCATTTGCATTTGTTTTTCTTTATATCAAATTTTCTAATATTATTAAAATGTCCGATTGATTTACGCGAGAAGTTTTCTAGAGGCACCCGTATTAAAAAAGATGTAAAAAACGTTTTTAATGGATTTTTACGTGTTAACTTATGAATTGTACATATGAAAGATAAACTAAAACCATCTTGAGAGGTGTGAGCCTAGGTTTCAGTTGATCATGATTCTGTAATATCTACACTCACAACCTTTTTAATTGATTAATGAGTTAATATAATATTTCGAACTAATTTTATTTGAATTTCTAAAAATATTTTAAAATTGTTAAATAAAAGATGATATATATATATTAGAGTTTTAATCAATTTTAAATATTAAATCATAAATAATCAAAATATTCAAAAAATTATTTCAAATGAGATTCATCAAAATTAAATAAAAATTCGGACGTAGAAAATGACTCAAAACTGGTTTCAGCCAAGCTGGAGCTCATTAGTCTATATTTTGCCTATCTTTTATATATGGATAATTTCAAGAGTACCAGGCGGACTTCATTATTCTCGGTAGTAAGGAAATAGTATTAATAAGCAACTTCAGAATGCTCCATTTAGGTCTCTGGGTCTATTTAGGGATTATTCTCGCAACATTTTGAAGGCTATCCGGAGGTTTTCATTATACTTCCCACGACATACCTCTAAATGATCCTTTTAACTTCTTGAGGCTTGTTTAAGGTTGAAGCCTAGATTTAGTAGTCTTGTGTTTCAGTCTTAACTAAATCGGATAGTATAAGAGAATTGTTTCGAGTACTATGCAACTTTTTGCATACTTTCATCTGTGTTTTATCCATTGCAGAGAAATTGATCATTGCTGATAGAGTTAGTGCGGTAAAGTCTTATTAGATTTTCTATGAAGTTGGTTCTTGATTGTACTAAATAAATATCTTGTCGAAGCGGTTTTGAAGAACAAGTCTTTAGTTGATGTCAGACATAATCAAGATTTAATGAGTGAAAAAAATAACGTGCGTGAGAGAAAGGTGAGAGAATGCTTTGCGTACAATATAGTGGCTAAGAGCGTCTACATGCCACTCAATTATTCACTGATTCAACTGTTTGAGTATTTTACTTTTCAAATATTTAACGAAGTATTCAAGTATTTATCTGTTCAATCTTTCTGTTACCGTCCCACTCAACGGAGACTTTAACCGTCGAAGTATTCGATTAGCTAACTTTTCGACTTCTCTATTGATCACATTACTTAATGTGATGAACTAGAGTATTTCATTTTTTGCTGACGCTAAGGTGTATGAACATAAGACTGTTTTGCTCACCCTTGCTATCACAACTAGTTGAAAACTCTACCGAATCGATAAGTACTCAAATTCATCTTCAGTCTTTACATCTATCCATCGAAAGACAAAAAAATAACACGACACTTACCACTTACTACTGACTTATGAAATAGTTTCCTTCTCTTTGTACGAGAATGACAATACTTTTTTCTGAAAAAATAAAATGCAACAATGAGATCAAAAGATATTCCTTCCAATATTGAGAATGTAAGAACGATGACAGACGAATTTTTTTTTCTTTGCAAAAAAAGACTGGAGTAAAAATAAATACTTTTTTTTTAATAAAGAGAGTATAGGAATGAGAGCAAGAAAAATACGTCTGCCAATGTAATGCAGGAATGATAATGGACGAGTTTTTTTCCGAGAAAGAGTCTGAGAATGAGAATAAATAAGCTTTTTTTCTAGAAGGAGAATACACAAATGAGTAAAAACAACTCTTCCAGCAAGGGGAATATAGATATGATGATAGGCAAATTTCTTTTCCGGAAAAAAAGTGTAACAACACACGCAAAAAACAATTTTTTCAGCAGGTAGAATGTAGGAATGAGAGTATGTTGTGTTCGCAGAAAATGTCTGCATGTTTTGCTCAC